GGGCATGCTGGATGACTGTGTGCTGATACCAGGGAAGCCTTTGGCATGTCGCCCACGCAGAAGGGCCTCCTGGTCAATCGAATTGCGCCGACCTGCGCGGTGGCAACACTCCTTCAGGCCGCGAGTTGTCAAGACAACTGTGCGGCATTCCTGTGGTGCACAGGGATCACAATGTATAGGTTTGAAACACAATTTTCTTTTGGTTGGTTTCTCCTTCAGAGAAGGCTGGCGACGTGCTATTGTCCTTCGACAACGAACCCATTGCCAACGATGGAACTGTGTTGTACCGCAAGCACGAGCGTGTTGCATTCAGTTCCTTGCCTAGACAAGCGTGTTTATGCTGTGAAAGCACCCGAGACAACGTGAATTATGCAGGGGCTTAGCAATTTTTTGAGCCGCATGACACTTGGCTTTGATGCAGTGCAGGCTGGCTGGTGGCGCAGAAGTTTTATGGCGAACCTGCCCAGTTGAAGGCTTCTTAGTCGTGTTTCTGAATTTGACTCCTGATGACTAAATTCCCAATGAACAAGGACGAAGCACTTGCGAAGGGCAGTGCCCTAGTCCCCTGTATGAGCAGCATCATCCAAAAGGATTTGGCTGTCCGGTGTGTCACAGTCTCGGATCATCCTGGATTGTTTCCAATTTGAGTATCGTATGCGTGGATAGCCGCCACTACAACCCATTTAAGTTTTTAAGGGCAGTGCGATCCAGCAACCCTGTCCCTCCTAACAGGTTTTGCGCAATGGAGAGCTCCTGGATCTTCAGCTTGAAAAGCTTCATCCAGAAGTGGCACTGGTCCCAGTGCATCTCTTCAACACCAAGCACCAGGCTTTCACGGGTTCATTTGACCTTTGTAAGGGTCAGGGTGGCACCTTTTTTGCTCTCATTTGCTCTTTTGGGTCTTGAACAGTGTTAATACTTTTCCTTGAATTCGACCCCGACTTGTAAATCAAGTGCTGTACATCCTGCCCTCAAGCTCTACAAGGTCCAGGCTTGGCTAGTGGTGTTTCAGGTGCCCTCCTACCTCATCGTTGCTGGCTTGGTCTTCACCACCCTCACCGTGCCCTTTTTGCGATCCGAGTTTGGTGAAGAGTGGGAGTGTGAGGCCTGCGCATCAGTTGCTTTTTGGTTTTGCGGCGTAGCATTTGAAGATATCAAAGCAGTTGTGCTGGAATTTGCGACCTTTTCTGTTCCTTGACAGGCTCCGATCGAAATCGTCCACCGGGTGATCCATCAGCGCGCTGAAGAACAGGGAGAGCAGTTGGTGGTGTTGACGCAAGTCCTGGCACATGATCTCACAATAGGCTACGAGGAGCTGGAGAACATGCTGCTTCTCGACGCCACTTGACATCAAAGTGGATCAAAGGATGCTGCCAGGAGACCAGTCAAATCATTCTGAGCAGTGGCTGTAGCAGATTGATTTCCACATTTTTACGAGGTTCTGAAGGTTATATTAAAGGGCCCTCAAAGTTTGCTTCGGTGAGACTGCTTTGCGAGGTGAATGGGGTCATTGTGAAGAACTTGCGGCAAGTGCTGGCTTTGGTGGATGGATGTCAGGAGTGAATGAAGTTGCAGTTACTTTGATGTTCAACATGCAAGGCAGGAGGGGAGGTCAATTGCCCAAGCCAGGAAGAGTTCCTACGCTTTACCCTTCACAACAACCTGGTGCTGGTCCTCAAGGCCTCTGATGCCCGGACAGCCACGCCTGAGGCGTTGGAGAAGCATGGCATTCCTTCGGCCAGCAGTCCAGATTTAGAGGCTGAGGCCTCATGCGGGGTTGAAGCTCAAGCTGTTGAAGCGGCCTAGAAAAGAGCGCAAAGGCCTGAAGAGTTGGGCATTCCTGGCGAAGGAAACTTTCAGGGGTATAAGCTAGACATAGCATGACATAGCAGCAGCTACGATGAAATGTGAGAGCTTGCAAGTATTGAGCTCTTGCATTTGTGGTCCAAAGTGACTGGAAGGGGATGGTCTGATTGCAAGATGACAGCTGGCTCTCACTTCTGCAGCTTGCTTCCATCATAGTTTTTTTATGACCGTCCCCTGCCTGGGTAATGATCGAAACACATGGCTTATCGCTCTTATCGCCCTCTCAACCCAGCCTCATTGGGGCTGTTTGGTGGTGCAACCAGACGGGACAGGAGTTCATCGAATGATCGATGGATTCGAGTGCGTGGTCGCGTGGAAAGCGTGGCCAAATGGACGTTTGCTGCGCTGTGGGCCATGTGTATGCTTCGGGTCAACGGTGTTTGAGTATGAGCAGCGTTTCACTTCTCAAAACTGTTGAATACAGTATGTTAGACTCCTATGAGGGGCTACCACTGTAGAAAACATTTTGTAAACGAAAGTTGTTGCAACACACATTCACTTATGTTGGCAGAACATTGCTAATTACGTCACGTACATTCAGCAGTGCACGTTCACTCAGCAGTGCTTGTGCGGAAATATTTGAGTCGCGCTTGCCCAGCACAAAAACTCCTACTTACCTCCTGGATATTTGCACGCGCGCCTCCACGACTCACAAAATTCGAGCTATATATATAAATCTACGAAAGGAAGACTGTGGCGGCTGTGGCCTGACTCACCCAGACTTGTGCAGTATGTGTTAGACGTGCCCCTGCCCAGAGCCCAGGAAATGGCACCCAGCAACCAGGCTGCATGGGGCTGGGTCCGAGATCGTTTTAAGATTGGCCCATGCCAGGAGCCCCGAGCGTAGCTTCTTGTTCCCATTTTACTTGCTGAGGACAAGAACCCGAGCGCGGAGGCACAGCAACGCTTCATCGAGATCACCGAGGCAGGGCCGAGGAGCTGCCGGAGCTGCCAGACGGGGTAAGGAGGGGTGGAGGAAGGTTCCTGCTCAATACTCTGCTCAATGTGCCTCTATTGGGCTAGGGCGGGCCTCTCCACGGAGGTATTTCACACTCTTTGTTGGTTTCAACATTCTTTACATATCTTGGAGTAGCCCCGTGTTCAGCGAAATTAAAAATCATTGAAGCACTTTATCTTTTTTTTTTTTTTTTGTGTGTGTGTGTGGGACAATAGGCACATACGTTAACAGGTGCCCTCCGTCCAACCCCTCGACTGATTGGCGCAAAGAAAAAACTCATGACTCTCAGTGGCTTTCACCACAATTTGTACTTGTTGAGGCTTTTGTGCAGCTGCGCGGAGAACCATTTCTCATTGTCCGTTTGAGGCCTACAACCACTTGACGGGTTTGAAGACAGAAAGGCCACGAGCAGGTGATTCAAGAGCAGGACTGTTTCTGTTCTCTTTTCTTTGTTTTTGTGTTGTTGTGGGGCATCCTTCCGACACACTTTGTTCTTTATCAATTCATCAGGTGAGTGGTGGCTGAATGATCTCTGAAGTTGCTTGAGGTTGGGACATGGGCTCTGCCACTTGGATAAGTCATCATGTTCTCTGAACGCCCCAAAAAACCATGATCTGAGTGGCCAGTTGGAAGGCCAACGGAGTTTTGTCAAGAAGACCTTTTCAGCGGCTGTCTTCCGGAGGAGCCTGGAAAACTCGAGTCAATCTGGAAGAGGCTCTTCGAACCTTTGCAGAGTCAATGAACCTAGGACAGCTTCTGGGCAAAGCATTAAACTTTAAACACCTGCGCGTTCTGTGTGATTTTGTCGGGCCAAGCGTGGCGAGCAGACGAGCATGGCAACTGATCAACAACATGAGTGGCTCATAAACCATTGGGTCTAATCTCAGTGCTTGACCCAAGTCCACAATGGTGCCTTTGGGTTTGTTGATGGCAGATGCTCCCCGGGTTGCTTCAGATGATCATGCAGTTGTGGCCCTTCCGTCAATGCGGGATAATAGGCCGCGGCTTGTAGGGAATTGGTCGCTTTGATATGAAGAAGCCGCAGCATTGGGAAACTCAGTGGACTGCACCTGGCACATGCGGTGACCATCGGAAAGTCCATCAAATCAGGTTTATGAAGAATGGCAAGATTGACTGGCAGAAGGTGGATCAGCAAGTGTCGCAGTTGGTCACCAGTGCGGTAGAGAGTGTGGCTGGTGCCTTGCGACAGCGCTACTACAATGATGATGGCGACTTAGCTGGACTGTGCACACCAGACCGAGCATTTTGGAAAGGGGAGAAGATAGCTGCCCCATGTGCCCACTGCCATTGTAAAACAGCTAAGCAGTGAGGCAGCGGCCTACCAGAACTGTCCCACATGCCTGATCTTAGGAAGCCTGAAATGGAAGCAAGTACTGGGCCACTTGGATGCAGGAGTTGGTTGCCCTGGAAGCGCGCATTCCAGTTGAGACTCTTTCTTTTTGCTGGTTCACAAGCTGAGGCGATACGGCGGTTGCGGGCGCCGCACTTTTCATGGTGCCTGAGCCGGGCTGGAACAAACCCCATCCATGGGATAGCTGCCCATGTCGAACAACAAACCTTTTCTGTATTCTCACAAGATGATGGTTGGTGCATAAGCTTGACGGGCCATCAATCCGAACCATGCGCAAGTAGTCAGCCAACACAAGCGACCCATCATAGGTCGGAAGGGCTGATCTGGGGGGTTGTGCCCAGATCACCGAGTTTGGGACACTGGCCAACAGTGGGCCCCTTTGCATTTTCTTGCTTCCAGGCCGCCTTCCGGGAGCACGAGGAGATGTAGCATTGTAGCGGTATGGACTGTATGGGGGTTGTGTTGGAAGCTTGGCAAGAACAGTTGATCGCTTTGGATGGGCTGTTGCGCAACAATGGAGTTCCAAACTCAGTGGAAACAACTGTAGATAGGGCTACGCGGGCTGGTTTGCAGTTCTGGTTTGCAGTGATGATTTCTGAAGGTTGCTGAACTCCTTCCTGATGGTCCTTCCTGATGGGCTTGTTTTGGCTCAAAGTGGTCAAGACGACTCTGATTGACCTGCTGCGTTCTCCAGAGGATGAAAACACAATTCAGCGCTCACGTTCTCTCTCAAGATGCCTTCACACTTTGTTGTTGCCTTTTTTTGGCGGAATCTTGTCCACAATTTCAAATTGGATGGCCAAGGTCAAAGTTCCGCCTACAAATGCGCCGGTATTCTCAGTTATGATTTCAGCAGTGGTTCGAGACCTCATGGGGCAAACAGGGTTGGCAAAGGATTGAAGCTGCAATACTTTTTGACAACACTTGTAATTAGCAGGCCTTTCAGCCCTGTGACCATGTGAACACAAGTAGTTCTCAGAGGCGTTTTTGATTTAGATACTCATAGCCGTGTCATATCCCACATGTCTCCCTACATTTCTGCAAAGGTGGTGGTTTTGGAAGGACACCTTCGTCAGCGCCGAGAGGAGCTAAGAACCTATGCCTTGGAGAGAGGCGCAGCGACATTCTGACCAAGTGAATCACGTGAATTCACTTGACTGGGTCACATGAAGTGACTGGACACTGGAATCAATCAACTGGAAAATTCTCAATCAACTGGCTGCTGACCTTTTGGCTAATTGAATCCCATGTGTCAAGGCGTCACTTTTACAGCAGAGGTCTATTTCAGGCCGCTGGGTTGGAGCTCCTGTTTGACGATCTGCCTTGCGGGGTGAGAATGCGGTTTGGGCGGTATGTCCACATCGAAGTCATCAAAGCGGTTGAAACGGTTGGAACCTCTTGATTGAATTGTGCACCCCTACACCCCACAAAGGATGAGAGGCATCCACGGTTTTCTGAGCATGGAACTCAGGCCAGTCCATCGCATGCCAGCCCATGCTGAAGATGGATTGCCTGTGCATTTGCCAGTGACAGATGAGATGTGTGCAGAACTGAGGGTTGACCACAAGCTATCGTGCCATGCTGGGCCATGCTCTTGAATTTGATATGCTCTTACTTAATTTTGCCTCCATCAGAAGAATGTATCGTCAAGCCTCTTCAACGCCAATGCTTTTGCAATGCAGAGTCTGCCCAACGACTGCAGTTTTTTTGAGGCGAGAACCATGTTTGTCCTCCTTTGTATCCGGAGCTCACCTTCGACGATGTGGATTACACGTGTTCAGTGATGCGGGGATCCCAGCTTGTGGCATCGTGGCCTCTCCGCAGCACTCTCCGCACGGCATCATGTGGAGAATGAAGCAACCTCTTTCCAGCAGAGGGTTTGCATTCTGACTCTGCGGGTGCCTCACCATGTTTGAAAGTTCTTTCCAAGTGATATGGTTTTATGCTATTTCAATTCGTGGACATGGCCACAAGCAGGAGTGGGGGTATTGCATTGCTGGCAAAGCTTGTATTCTCACAGGTTCATTGCAGGTCTGGATCATTGGGACTTCCATTCTCGACCCGTGTGGCTTCAGGAATGACTTCGCAGAACTTCCTGAAGCGAAGCGCCAGAAGATGTGACGCAGTAAGAGGGCAAATGGATTGTGCGTGAAACGTAGCAGCTGCCTACAGGATGTTGCATGGCCCTGCATGGCGACTAGCTCAATCAAGGTGAGAAGTTAAAGCTATTTGTAGCAGGAACTGGTAGGGTTATTGATTGCCCTTGTTGTGAGTTTAGATGGGTCCTTGGCAGGCTTTCGGCACCCAAAATATATTCTTGAATGATGTGGAGACCTTTCTGCTGAGCATTTGGCTTTCAGCATTCAGCTTGTTTCCTTCGCGCACCTGGAAAAATGGTGTTGACAGAGTCGACGGCCCAGCATGCTAGTGACTGCTAGTGATACCTAGTGATTTGCTTCTTTGACTTGTCTTCTTGGGTCCTTTTGGTCGCAAGTAGCTCAAGTCCATCTCCAAGTCTTTTGCCAAGATCTCTGTTGGATTGCGAACGTTTGAAGGCTCCCTGCTGCTGTGTACTCAGCTCCAGCGATCCCTGCTGGGATGATTAGAGGACGCTAGCGGCTATAGCGCCCTGAACACGTATGACTCTGGTATGACTCTGTATGATGTTGCTGCTGCTCCTGAGTCCTAAGTTTCGAGTTTTGCCGGTGATGGAGCTAGCCTTTCACAGGGCACAAGCTATTGTTCACAGCTCCACCCGCCTCAGCCAAAAGCAACTTCAGTTTGCTCCAGGCATGAGGTATAGCAAATAACCAACTATGCCACCATGCCACAGCTCAACCTTGACAGACGCAGATGGACCACAAGAATTTGCCAAGCCTATGATTACATAGCCTAACGATTACTGTACATGGGCGCTCCCTCCTTTTTGCTTACAGCATGTGCAGCTTTGTTGTCAACCACTGTTTGTTCCCCTCCACGTGTCATACCTTTTCAGGCATTTTCGCAAATTCCTCAGAGCCAAATGTGCAGTCATCATCAGTCATCTCAGAAGTGAACCTTTGGCCACCAGCCATTTGAATGTACCTTGGCAGCATCGCTATGTCCTTAAACCTGCCCACGCGAGCTGTGCCGGGGGCTGCGACGGTCGTGGCTTGACATCAATGCTGATGCTTGAGAGTTGAAGATTTGAACCCCCTCAACAAGGTAAGCCTTGCATGCATGCTTTGCCCAGCCATCAAGAGGATTCAGCGGTTTGTGCTGGTGGGAGATTTGTAGATCGACAAGCGCTTCTCGCGATGTGTCAACTGCAGAGCATGCACGGGTTGAGCTTGAACTCGAGCAGCTCGAGTGGGCCTTGAGAAAGTCAGGTCTTCGAACCGCCATCAAGATGGCATTCCCGTGTTTGCCAGCAGACCGCAGGCAAGGCCTTGAGCAGCTTGCTGGCACTATGTTCCCTCCCCTTATTGGCTCGATATGAGAGGTTCTGCGGGGTGGATTATGATGACCGCAAGCCATTTGACAAACACTTTTTTGGGGGCTCTATATTGACGACTATTGCAAGATTGTGTGTTTTGTGAGGAGATGTGACTCTTCTTGCCGGAACCTCTGCGGTCTGGCACCACTGGAGGCCTGGAACTCTTCTTCAGCTTCTGAAATCTTAGTTATTTCAAGTTGACCAAACAAAGGCACAAACATGTTAAACGTTGTGGATTTATTGCAATTCGTTGAAGTGTGACCATGAAGTGCTCCATGGATGCTCAATGGCCTCATTTCACCAACGTATCCCCAGCACATACCAACAATGCGAGGTCTGAGGTGCGTTTCTGCGACAATACGATCATTATTTTTGTTGGACTTGTCGAAGGCGCTGCCGCAAGCAAAGGGCTACGGCTACGACCGCTTGACGCTTGGCAGTCCATTCAGTGCATTGGCCACACCACTTTGGTTTTTGAGCTTCAAGGAGTTTGGAGCTGGGAGAGCGAGGCATCGAGCTAAGGTGGGGTCATTAGCGACGCCGCCGTCATGCAAAGGCTGACCAAGGACCAATGCCATGCTTTCAGAAAGCCACTTTAGAAGTCTGATGCGGGGATTGACATGGCAGAGTTGCAACAGCTGGGAGTCGCCAGGAAGATGAACCTGAGATCCATCTTGGGAAGGGCCTGTTTGGTGCCTCGCAGTTGCAGGAGATGGCAGATGGCTTGCAACTTTCTTTATGCCCAAAGCAGCGTCCCTTAGAAATGGCCTACTTCTGTGTTCGACTCGGAACATGGGGCTCTTCTGTGGGAATGAGCTCTCCCAAAGGCGAGATTCCGGATCCAGCCACCCTCAGCCACCCTACTTTGCTCGCAGTCACAAGTCAGCTTTTAGGGCAAGCAAAAGCTACCAGTAGCATCCTTGCTTCGTTCGTAGCGATGCCAGGAGCCCCTACTTAGTAGCGATGCCCTTTGCTCCGTTCGTAGCTTCTGTAGCCCTGTGATTCTGTAGAGGAGCTGATCTCCCTGTGCGACGCCCGGCACGGATTCGCTGCCAGTGTCCAGCGGCGCAAGGATGGGGAAGTGGTGGTGGACCAGCTACTCGGTTCTTGAGTTTTGTAACCCCAAACGCCATTTGTCACTGTGATCTAATCACCGATTCATCACCCTTCTTTTGTCCTTCTCTTGATTGTTTTGTCTTCCTGGTAGTGTAGTTTCATCCTTCAGATCTCTTCTCGTCATGTGCTTGCCTGTGGCCATGATGGAAATCATCCGAAGTCAATCCTATCCAATCTTATTGGATCCCAAACCCAGGTCCAGTGTTTCTGGTTTTGCATCGCACAGGAGAATCATTCACAGTTGCAAGACTCGTGAAAAATTAAAACACAGACTGACCTGGCACCTTCCCCGAAACTGGCTCTACAGTCTAGAGTCCAGGTCTCCCTTTCATCTGAGGCACAGGACATCGAGCTCTTGCCCCATGCTTTGGCCACTGATGACCCCACCGGCACCTTGGAAGATAAGTCATTCGCGCCAAACCAATCGTCTCGAAGCCGGAGGCCAGTCGATTGGTTCGATGGCGACTGACTGATCGTCCAACTCTATGATGAAAGCCAGCCGGCAAGCGAACCGGCTGAAGTTAGACATTGTGAGTTGTGGGGGTCTGGGGGGGGAAGACGGGAAAAACAGGACAAATTGATGACACTCACTTTCTTATGTTGTTTTGTTGGTGTTTGGGGAGAGTTGATGATGCTGGTGATTGCACGTCATCGTTGGATGGTGGTAAGGTTGCTTAACGAAGTTGCAGATGGATGGATGAGTAGATGGTGGATGCTTGGACAGATGGTAGATGGATGGAGGGAGGATCCTAGAACTATGGGGTCGCGATGGCTGGCGTGCTTTAGGCATGTTGGGTTTGGATTCAGGGTAGTGGTAGGGTGGGGGATGGAGGGATGGAGGAATGGACGGATGGAAAGAGGATGGACGGACGAATGAATGGATGGATGGATGTATTCATGAAGTATAGTGGAACATGGGCGCCCTGCGGAAGAGCTGTCGTAGGCAAGGGTCCTGGTCGGCACCACAATTTGCTCAACCAAAGAACAGCTGGCAGATGTAGGGTAGCGGTGGCGTGGAGTCGGGATGGGTGGATGGAGGGGCGAATGGTTGGAGGCATGGGTTGTGGGAGCGCTTGCGATTATCTTTTGAGTGAGTAGATGAGGGTTTAGTTTCGGGAGCGCTACATTGCTACAGGTTGAAGTTTCAGCCCGTGAGTCTTTATGCGCGAAGTTCCGAGTGAGTAGCCGCTCCGCCTCCGTTTCGGGAGCCTGGCAGCGCCGATGCGCACACCGAACCGCAGCGGTACACTGTTTGGGGCAGCGACTGGCGTAGCGCCGTAGTGGCGTAGAGCACAAGGCATCCAACACCAAACACCGTAACGGCGTCATAGCGTAATCACTGCTTAAGGACACAGTTGGCTTGCCACACGCTTATTGCTGGTTGACGTATGTTGACGTTTCAGCCTGGAAGCCTCTAGGCGTGCTATGGCGTGATCTTTTTCTGTGGTAGCTTTGCACGCAAAGTGTTCGTTTTCGGGAACAGGTTGAAGTCTCAGTCTCTGAAACTCGATGCGCGGAGTTTCGCTTTGGTGTTTGGCCTTTCGTCTTCCAGTTTGGGAACCGATGTCCGGCTCATTTGCTGGCTTTCATGCTAGCCGGCTGTCTCATGTTGATTCTTGCTTCCGCAGGACTGTAGCAGTGTTTGGAATTGTCCAGAACTGACTTGCACAACTTGCAAGCAAGACTGCTTGCAGACTTAGAATACGGAGGGTGATTTTAAGTTTTTATTTTTAGTGGGCAATTCCTTTTTTGTGGTTAGGTGGCTTTGGTGGCTTTTGGCTTCTGTGGATTTTGTGGCTTCTGGCTTTTATGGCTTTTGTGGCTTCTGGCTTTTGTGGCTTTTGGCTTCTGTGTGGCTTTTGGGTTGTGCGGCTTTTGTGGCTTTTGGCTTCTGTGCGGGTTTTAATGACTGACTTTACTACTGTTGATAAGTCAAATCTCTACTTTTGATGCCTTTCCCCTGACTATCTCTACTTTTGATAACTTTTCTCTTGAAACATGTTCGATGAATTGTCTACTGAATTGTCTGCTCTTGATGACGACTTTACTAGTCAACATCTTTCATTCTGACCCATTACAATCGCCATCGCTACTTTTGATAACTTTTCTGGTAAAATCATTACTTTTTATGACTGTTTGTTGAAATCTCTCTTTTGATGAGTTTTTTAATTGCATTCCTTGCTTTTGATGACTCTTCTAGACAACATTTCTACTTGTAATGCCTGCCCCATTGAGAACCACACACAGACCACCAAAAAGAAATAGGAATTTCCAATTTATACAAATAAAGATTCCCAATTTAAAGTCCCGACCCCTCACGACCCCTTACGACCCCTTAGAACATAGCTTTCCCTTTCTCGACCTTGCCATTTTCAGGATCGCCTGCAGATGCTGCGCGATGCTGGCAACGTGGCTTTGGCTGAGCAGATCGAGCAGGAGCTGAGGGCGGTGCAGGCCGTGCAGAGGCGATGCGCCCAGGCGATGCGAAGCAAGAGGTGGATGCCGGTTGGAACGCCTAGGAAGAGAAGAGAGGAAGAGATGCCTTTTTCCTTTGAACCTTGCGTATGCCATGTATTGAACCCCCTCGTAGATTTGAGCCAACCAGGCCAGTGTGAGACAAGTAGTGGCCCAGTGCTGGGCCGGAGAATCGTTTGAAGCCTGTGCAGACGTCCTGTCCTGAGAGGTCATCGGAGTAGAGCAGGAACGCATCGAGCCCCTACAGTTGGTGAAGTACTTGCCAGGGCAGTGCGCCTTCCGACCGACTTGGAATCTGAATATGCCCGAGCATGACACGGAACATTTGCCAGCAATTGACTGTCATTTCTGCTGGGAGGTACTATAGCCCCCACATGGACACACATGAGGAGCCAGAGAGGAAGTCTTCCTATGCTGGCAGCCTGGATCAGTCTGAACCAGGGCCTGATAGACAGAGGGCGACCAAGGTCACCCATCACAGAGTAGCCTACAGAAAATTCAAGAGATGCTTTGTCACCTCAGCAGTCTTGGAACAATACCGATCCGGATTGTGTCCGAAGCAATTGCACAAAGACCCGTAGACCTGAAATTATCTGAAATTCAAGAAGGGAACACAGGCTCGCTGGTGGTAACATCTCCCACTACTACACTACTCTGTCCCAAATCTAAAAATTGGATGCGTGGTTGTGTGTGTTGGATAAGCCTGATATGCCCGGACTTGAAGCTTTGTACCTTAGTGGGCCTGTGAGCCCCATGAAGTTTGCAGGGCTGGACCACTCTTAGCTTCTTGTTCCTAGTAGTAAGGCCAGGCGCCCCGAACGTAGCGTCCGATCGCTCCGTTCGTAGCGATGCCCTTTGCCCCGTTCGTAGCGTCCTCTTGCTATTTTTGCTGAACCAAGGTGAGCAGAGGACTCATACCATGCTGGTTTTTCTGAGCGATGTGCCTGAGAGCGATGGCGGCGGACATCTTCACTTCCCTCGCCTGGGCGGGGAACTGAGAAAGGTCACTGGAGTCGAGGTCTTTTGAGGTTCATTGGCAATGCTTTTGCCATATCGCGACCCCCTGATGTGCTCGATTGAGGTGCCACAGTTCTTGGTTTTCAGATGTTTTTAGTTTTGTTGAATCGGCACTGGCGACCTCATCTAAATCGGGGCAATGATGGAATAAGGAAGGACATCCCGCACCAGCAAAACTGCAAGCAGAAGTAAATTCCACACTTTAGGAGGATTCCAGCTCCTTGTGGTAAACTTCTTACCCTGAACTAACTCCTCACACTAAATCAAATTGGGTGGACCAAAAGTCCACTGTGAACCTGAGTAAGGAAAAGCCGCAGGTCGGGCTTGCATTTCCTTGGGCAATCAAATCCCAGAGCGAATGACTGGCCCCTATGGATATTTTGGGACAAAGTGCGCATCGAACCAACATGTTCCATGGGCCCATGCTGCCAGTCAATTCCTTTCGGACTTGCCAACCTGGCCTTTGACTTGCATCCTACGGGTTCTGTGCAGAGTTTGCTTTGGAGTGTGTTTGCTTTCGAAAAAGGTCTCCACATCCAGCCTCACCTGGGTGATGCGGTGCTTTGGCGAAACCTCACGGAGGATGGCCAGCCAGACCTGCCGCGAGCCCTAGCGGCCCTAGCGGGAAGAAAAGCCGAACACACTGGTGGTTTTCAGCAGCTTGGTGGTTTTCTTCTTGTGATTGGCTTCTTTGCTGCTATATGATATTATAACTACAGGGAACCCACTGGCGACCCCCCGGGGACCCCCCCAAAAAAAAGTCTTCAAGTTTGTCCGAGCGTGGGCATTGTTGCTCGTGAGCACGCACAGTTGAGCTCGCAGTATACAATTTGATGTTCATTTGCTTTCCGCATGCAAACGATCTACTTGATTTCCGACGGCACTGTGCCGTGTGCTGAAAGCTCCTGGTCAACATTGGTCTGGTCGCCCTCTTCAGGCGAGTCCTCCATGAAGGCGTTGCACCAAAGAGCTGTGAAAAGCTGGCGCGGACGCCTAGAGAGGGCCGACTGAAGACTGGACTTAGTGCGGGCTTTGCGCCTTTTGAGCCGACAGCACCGAATTTCTACTCTTGCACATTGTTTCCACCAGAAGGGCTTGAGTATGGGTGCTCATGCAAAGGATTATTTGGTCTTTTCTTGGAAATGGATGGACATGGATGGAAATGGATCCCAGATGTGCCCAGTCTACTCCGGGGCCAAGTCCAAAGACTTGAAAACAGCTGAGGCGATGAATGTTTGGGTCGCAGATCGTCCGTTCTCCCTCAGCGCCATCCAAGCGTGGCTGGGAGCTCAAGAACAACGAGTGGTGGAGCAAGGGCACGGTGGAGCAAGTGTTTGACCTTTCTCCGACTTCTGTCGAAGCACTTCACTCCTTCATGAAATGCACAACAAGGTGGGTATGACAAGAACATAGAAGAACTAATGTTTGTGGCATTTAAGCGACACAGCATATGCAGAAACACAATCAACTCTTGAAGCCTGCAATCAACTCTCAGGCAGGCAAGTTCATCGAGTGCAAAGCCTGCAGCTTCCCAGTTCTTGGATTGATCTTGCTGCGGGGTGCGGAAAATGAGATGTAGGGGTGGTGGGCGTGCCTTCTGTGGTCCATACACACCCAATTCAATCAAGCTCCTACGGCTGTTTAGTGCTCTACTCCGGCTGACTCTTTGAACAACTCCATCCGCTTTTTGATTGCAAACCACCAATGGTAGGGCTAGTGGCTCACGAGTGAGACCAACCATACCACGGCCACCGAACTCTATTGACCCACCACGGCAACGGTCCGACAGGAGCAATGCCAGCTTATCAATCATCACCTTTAGCAGAGGCCCCTTGCTTGGGGTGGACTTGAGCTTGCACTTCCGACAGGGTCAGCGGATTTGGTCTTCCTTAGAGGCAACTTTTTCATCTCTGGCTGACCAGAGATGCCAGCCGGGAAAGGACGTGTATATAGACATACTGTAAGTTTTTCTGGAAGATGCACCACTTCCAAGACTAGCCGGAGCCTGGCACAGGGAAAACGGATGAGCCGCTGTGCTGGTGGCATTGCTGCGATCAGCGTGGCGAGGATGCCAAGAAGGGGCATTGGGCTCTATCATTTCGGGCTCTCTTGCAAAATGGTGCAGTGAAGGCCCCTGTCCCTTTTAGGTGCCTATTCTACAGTGGTTGTGTGTCATGTGCTGCAATGCTGAAGAACCTCAAGACTCAACTTCACTCAACCTCCAAGAATTTTTACCAAAAGGTCATGTCTTGCCAGGTCAAACCCCCGATAGAATGGACTCAGTGGACGGACTGATGCAGAAAAAGACCTCGAGGCCTTGTCACGGCGCAAGCGCACCTCCTGTGCCGCCAGTGTGGTGTCCGCAAATATTCCTTTAGAGGCATGGCTTTAGAAGTGGACGGTCGGCAAGGTGTTGCGCATACAAGGCTTGCCTGGGATACATGTGAGCGCACATGTAGTTTGATGGCGTCAATGTGTCAATGCGTTACTTGCTGAGCTCTTGCATGTCTTGCAGGGCCCGCCCCAGCAGCCAAGCACAGCAAAAGAGGCTTGGGCATCTGGTGGGTTTGCAGGTGCAACAGGTGGATAAATTCTTCAATAAGTACCAGGACATGGCCAGGTAAGGCACGCTAGATCACAATGGTATACATGCAGCCCAATCACGAGGTGTGCGCTTCACACATGGGTCACATTCGGAAACACTTTGCTGCTTTTTTAGGCAGCCACCCTGGGCAAAGAATGGGAGATGCATGAAAGGCTGATGGACAAAGGATTCGCCAGGCTGGAGAGTTGGATGGTCCGAGACCGACAGATAGACTTGCAAGAGGAACCTGATGGGGTGGCTGGCTAGAACTTTTAGCCTGCAGTTGTTGAGAAGTGGTGCTTTAAGAGTGATCCGACCCTTGTTTGTTACAAGGATTGGCAGCATGGATTGGCCTCAAACTGCATCACCCAGTCACAGTGTCAAGGGTATGAGGATCAGTGTTATGTGAGTCAAGCTATGCCCACCTCCAGGCTTTCAGAGATGGAAGAAAGCGGCCTGCTTGATCAGTGCATTGCGTGCGCCGTTGCCTGCTTGAATGCATCATAGGTTATGCGTTTTGAGAGTTTCAGCCAGAAGGTAGGCTCGGCCCCAAGATTTGTACGCAAGATTCTTCTTGGGAATGTAGAGGATGCCCACTTTGGATAACAAAATGCAACTGCCCAAGGTTACTAGAAACCAGCGTTCAGTGACATCAACTGGGCGGGTCTCACCAGGAGTACTGTGCTGCCAGGATCTCTGAGCGCGCGCTGCGGAAAGTGTTGGAGAGTGCGGATATCAAGTTTCGCCAGTTGGATATGGACAAGCCCAAGGCCTGCCCTTCTGGCACCTCGGTGCTTGCGAACTACCATAATCTTCCCAGAAGTTCTACACTGGGGCGGGGCACATTCCAAGGAAGGTCTCCGAGGGGTCCCTGAGACCAATCTCTTCATGAGAAGGCATTTTTGAAGGTTGGGGTTTGGGAAGATGGGAAACTGTCCCTTTAGAGGATTGGGGATTTGTGAAATTGTGACAGAGATGGTCTTCAAAGCAAACTTCTTTTTGGATGCTTCAGCACCGTCCCTCTCTGTGAGAGTGTCGCACATAAAGGGGTGAGCAAGGGAAAGAACAGGAGACAGATAGATCAGATCTGGTGTGAATAAGTAGTGGCACCGAAGTTAGATCAATCATCACTTGCAGTAATATAGCATTTAATTGTAGAGTACAGTGTGATGCAGCCTGGCGTTTCCTCCGTGGCCAAGCAGCATCTGAGTTGAATGGTGAGGTGGCGAGCATCCTCTCCACACCGGGTATCCTTGAGATCTTCGGGGGCGCAGGCTGTGGCGGCATGTGTTGCTGATGATGTCTATAGAAAAGAATGTGGCAAGGTATGTAAATCGTTTACGAGGATCCTTTCTTGTGCATATAATAAGGGCGAGCTCACACGTTTTTAGTTCTCCCGGACGACAGGTTGGGTTGAGGAGGACTACTGGCTGGTCCTGCCAGAGGGGACACCGTTGCAGTTGGGAAGCCTAATGTCACAGGCAAAGCGGCTGACCACCGTCCAAACAGTTTTCAACAACAACCATAGAATCATAGAAAACTACATTTGTTAGTCCAATTGAAGGATTGGGCTTTGGTCTCCTGAAAGGCGATGCCGGAAAGAACAGCGGAGTACTTCTAAGCTGGTAAATGTGCATCGCCTACCCCTTACATCTCCAAATTGAGAGAAAAGCTAATGTACGTTGACCTAGGTGACTTACGATTCGAAGGCTTACCTGTCAATTACAACTTAAGTTACAGAAGTAATTTCATCAGCTATATCGTCTCGGCTACTCCAACAGCTACATCACAGCTTACGATTACCTGCTACAACTTAAGTGATAATGACTGCCAAAAATCTCTTCGTCTTTGTGGATTTTTGGTTTTCGTCTTCGTCTTTTTCCCTTTCCCTCGCTTACAGCCGCCGTGTCTGACTGGGCCCCTTCTTGGATCTGGGGCCCCCTGCTCTTGGCCTGGCGGTGTAATCCCAAGAGCAGGAAAGAAGGAAAGGGGAAAAGGAGAGGAGGAAAGTGAGGGTGAACGACAATGAAATAATAATGGACTGTTCGTTTGAAGTCAGCCTTCCAGGAGCAAGAAGCCACTAGTAGCTCCTGGCATCACTACTAGTAACAAGAAGCTACTAGTAACAAAGGGCATCACTACTAGGAGCAACCTTGACCTCCTTGAACGTGCTCGTTGTTCTCTTTGCTCCTCGAGGCTCACGCAGCGCGCCGTGCAGGGCTTGCAGCGAGAGCAGCGGCGGAGGGCGACCGCCGGATCGCCCAGCGTTTTCCAGCTGAGGCTATTCACAGCGGCGATTCCAACAGAGCCAACCCCTGGGTGACAGCAAATCCATAGAAATCCATAGAACCTCCCCGCAAAATGATCGACGCATGGCCATAATACGATGTTTCCTCCGAACGACGGCGACGCCTTCCGCCCGTGCTGGACACAACCGCCATCCGCTCGGAACTCGAGGTGCAGAGCACAGCTGAGAATCCCAACGAGCGGGGTGGCCTGGTGCTGATCCAAGGACAACAACGTACTCAACAGGGAGGTCACAACCAACAGGGATTGGTTGGCTAGGAAGAAACTTCCTCAACTTCAGGATCAACAGCCTCCCAGAAAGTGCTTCTTCTTTCCACCTGTTGAGGTTCTTCCACCTCGTGTGGTGGTCGATCTCGCGTGTCTTCGCTTCGCGAGGCGCCGATTCAACCCATGGGATGGCAAGGTCTACACCTACCAGGCCAGGATGGGCAGAGGAGTGAAACTCGGTGAGAGGCACTTGACTCAAAGGATGATGAGCTTGATATGACCGGAATAGACCGGAATGGGACGCTTCCACCAAGATGTGGGCCCTTCACTTCCCAAAAAAAGAACTGTAGCACCGTCCTGCATTGAGTCTCGAACCTTGGTAGGTTTCAAGTTCTTGCGCGCAGGAATTGGAGAAGTGTCTCGAGAGGGCCGACTTGACCACGGCCGAGATTCAGGACCTCACGCCAGTCACAGTCAACAGTACGTTTAGTTTACATTCGTCATTGACTGAAAGGAGCTTGCTGATTCTAGTGTGTATATATGCATATGTTTACACACACACACACATATATATATATATGAATAGATCCATTGCGTTTAACTCCGCAGTTGTTTTTGCCACCTGAGGTTTTTGTTTCGGTAGAAGTTCTGGGAGGTGTGATATATGGCACGTAAGATGCACTGACAAGGACCTGAAGTCCACATCGTCAGTATAGTGCACAGAAGCTTGAATTGTTCAATCCTTTGTTTGTCACCGTGCTGCTTGCAGGGACCAATCCCCACGCAGATAGGTTTTGTCAGCTACGTGTTTGTCAGGAGCACTGGGCACATCGTTGCCGGCCTGTGGCAGAGCAGGTGACGCACTTCGAGTCACCTGGAGCCAATTCTCATAGGTAGAACATGTCTCAACATGATGGCAGGAAGCTGGCAAGAAGATTGGGAGTTGCCTTTGAACCTGTTTTGATGTTCAGTTGAATGGGCTTTGATCACCCATGACCGAGCCATGACCATTGGTCAAACGGAGGCGGAGGGCGCTGCGATTGGCGGCCCAGAGATCACTGAGCCACAGGCGCGATCATCCGACGGCGTAGCTTGAGAGTTGAAGAGATCATCCGACAGAGAGCTTGGTGGTTTTGGGGATGGGTCAAAACAAACACCGACCAGGCCACCATTTTGCCAGCGAACGACCCGACTTTGGTGTTGCCACAGTCGTTCCTGCGCCGGGCAAGGTGGAAGCCTGGCAGAAGGTTTGGAAACTTCAATCCCTTCAGCGAATGTGGACGCCCGCTGACTTGGCTCATGCAGGGAATCTCAGGTTCAGTGCCAAGCTTCAGTTGCTGGGACCGGACAATCCTTTTCCTCTCTCCCTCTCCCTCTCCCTTTTCTTTTTCTTTTTTGCTCGGTTCTTTTATGTCTGCTTCCTCAACTCCCGCACCCTCTGGGAAAAGTGGGTCCCGACAAGGCTCCTTCTCCTTGGACCGGGGAAATTTGCAACCATGGCCAGTCTGCCACTCCAAGGCCAACCAGGCATGGAAAAACACCCTTCCAGATCTTCCAGGGTTGCCTGACATTCATAGCGCACCACTTCCTAGCTGCTTGAGCTGGGTGCAAAGGCCAACTTTGTCTGCTTGGCCGCTCCAAGGCATTCGTGTGCCATCCAGGATTGCACCTTGCCATCCGCAATCTTTGAGACTTTGAAGCACTTTTGGCATTCAAGCCACTGGCCCCTCTTCATCAGCTGGTGCTGGGTGTGCACTCTCATGCGCAGATTGAGGTCCTGCTCTGCCACTGCCTCATATTGGCAAGGCTCATTGGCCAGCTTGTGGAGCGTCTCTTTTCCACATCTTCGAGCAACCTTGATCCAACAGCGGCTGCAACCAAAGGAACTGGCACGGAGATACCAACGGTGCCCTGGCTGGTGGTCAGGCTGCAGGGACGAAGCACTGATCATGTCCTCCATGATGCTAGTCAACGTCTTGACCTTCTCTCCTGGGCAGACCGTGGCCTCCTTAGCCTCAATCTCAGCATGCGTGGAGCAGCTCTTGATGTGAAGGCCACACAACAAGCAGGTCAGCCCTTGGCCCTTCAGATTCCATTGGTGTTCTCCAGGGCCATTGGCTTGTTGGCTCAGCCTTCGTAGCACATCCAAGCGCCCACGCGGCCGCTCAGGCTTCACCTTGTAGGTCTCCACTGCTGGCTCCACCTGCCCATTCATGTAATGCTCAGGGTCAGTGAGAAGGGTGCCAACCCGTTGCGCTGCTGCCTCATACACTGCCTGGTACCACTTGTCATCCTCTTGGAGCTGGAGCTCAAGCTCTTGCGGCGCCTCCCGATGTGCCCTGGTGAGGGCACACTGCATAGCCTCTTGATGCTGGAACCAAGCCCTTTGATCATCCCCAGTCACACGCAGCAGCTTCTTGGGCACATGCAGCACTTTCAGGCGGGACCATTCACCTTCAGGAATACTGTGCCACATCTCAGGCGCACAGGTGCCAACACTGCCTTTGTTGATGGCCGTCCAGCCTGCTCGATGGGCAATGTTAACCTGATGGCGCCCCAATGTGGCCTGCAGGATGAGCCAACACCCGAAAAAGCAGGCTCGTGCTTCAGTGGCCTTTTTCAGGAGCTAGGCCAGTGCACGCTAGGTCAGTGGCCTCCCCAGGAGCTCTCTCTTTTTGCTTGGGGTTTTGTGTGAAATTTGCACTCATTTGCATTCGAGGGCGTTTTTTCCTGGTGTTTGTCACATCATTTTTCTCGCATGTAGAAGCCACGGGAGGGTGGCGCGCAATACTGTGTCCGGCCTTGTTTCCGATGCTGCCGTCCAGTCGCAGTCGGACCAAGCTGCAAGGTGCATGCCATATCAGGCGGAGCTTACATGGCCCTAGGCTGGTCAGGGAACTTGCTGGAGAGATGAGGTGATTCTTTTTCATGCTCTGGAATGATTTCCTTCAAATGAGTAGATGTTGCGCAAATGTGATGTACTTGCATGATTTGTCCAGTTCTGAGCAATGAACTTGTCTGTCTATGTGGTGATATGCCTCTTTCTCAAGCCACATTTGTCGCAAAGCCACGTTGCACATCGTTGCACTGTTGGTCAATGGACTCCTGTTAGGTGGTGCTGCGCTACTGGACACTGCCGTGAGTGATGTGATGACTCTCAACGGTAGTAGCTGGGCTTGAGCCTTAGCTTGTTTGCTTTTGAAGCCTCTCAGACAAAGAACATTTGATGCAACATGGAAGCTACAAGGGTAGCTCCATGCGGATTCACAGGACAATCATCACTGGACCCATGCTAAATTCAGGGATTGCTTGCGTGACGGCCAAGTAAAGTAATGATCACATCCCTCGTCAATGCTGCGTAGCATGAAGCTCAACCTGAAATGGTAGCGAATGACAATCTCTTACTTGTAACGAATTTTGCTGGATGATGCGGGCACCGCGAAAGTTGCAAAGGGATATGATACGTATTGATCTGTCTAATTAAAGGGGTGGACACACCATCAAGACCGGGCGGTGACAGACATAGTTGCCAAGCCCGCCTTAAAATTGCTTTCTGCTGCTTGGAACCTGTGGACTTCGTGGACTGCTGAGGCTCCTTCCCTTCCACTTGAGGCGCACCTTAAACACATTGAACACATATTGAACACAATTATCCATGGGTGGTTGTGCGGATGTGGAAACAAGGCACTCCTGTCCATGACTAGCAGCTAGCAAACAGTTGGTTTAAGAATGGCATGTGCAATGTGCAGATTCATAGAGGTTCATCTCCAAGATCAACTTGGAGAGGCTGAATTTGTTGTTTCGACTTGGCACCCAGCTGTGAAGCCAAACCCATCCTGAAATGCATCCTGCCGCTGGTTTGAGGTCAGCCTGTGCAGTATTCGGAGCCGCCACGGAGTGTTTCTTAAGTTTATGCAGAGGTAGGGGGTCAATGAGACATGAGACACACAAACCTCCAAACAAGTGCCCCATCGATGCAGAACCGCGAAAAAAAACCATAGGGCTCCCCACGATTCTTCACCATGCAACAGCACACTCAAAAACAGCTCCATGTCATGTTTTTTTTTTGTTTTTTCTCCTCGCACTTGTTCATACCTAGGCGTCCCGCCTTGACCCGCCATGAGCGACGAGTCCGTCCTGGTGGATGTGCGGAACCTCTCGGGACGACAAGTGGGCATCGCCCGCTTGCCCTGGGAAGCGCCGGTGAAGGCCTTGCGAGAGCAGATCAAGCGCTGGCGCCGGGGATTGGTCGAAGGGGCCTTTGAAGATCCCGAGATGTCGCTCCTGGCGGGGATCTGCGTCTTGGACGATCGGCAACCCTTGTACAACTACTGGACCTTCTCCGAACCACTCTTGGTCACCTTGGTGACTGGCGAAAGTGCGGAGATTATGGTTCAGTATGGTCAGGAGAACATCGCTATGTCTGTGTCCTCATGGACGACCGCCGGTCTCGTGAAGGACCAAGTGTGCGAAGATTTTGGCTTAGACACTGCCTCAGCAGTGCTGAGCCTGGTCCTGCCATTGGAAGTGCGACCATTGGTGGATACCGAACTCTTGTTGTCCTCTGGCTACGTCCCAGGTAGCTTCTTCCGCCTCACAGCACGCTCAAGTGAATGATCTCATGCGCATGATGCAACAGGCTTGTTCTTTTCCCGTCACTCCAAGCTGCTGGGAGGAGCTCCTGCAACTTAGGGAGAAGGCTTTTCGCTTGACCCCACCGTGTGGCAGCTTTTCTGATTTTGGGGTGCAGTTTCAACAATTATTTCACCCAGTGTTCCTTTTAATGCCGTGCCCCTGTCCACAGCAAGGACAACCTAATAGGATGGTTTCAAAGTCCGATAGAAGCTGCGGAGCTGCTGGCGCCAAGATCGTTTTCTCAGGAACGACGGTTACTAACCGTTAACTACTATGCAATGCAAGGACGAGCTATGTAGCTAGTGGAACTTTTGACTGCAGACAGCGGAGCAGCCCCGCGGTCCGTTTCACCCCTGCGCTCTACAAGTTTGCTGGGGAAAGTAAGCGAAACATGGAGATCTTCAAGTCCATGAGCAGCAAGGACCAGGGATCCCCAGAGATCCTGCGAATCTTGCAGTTTTTCACCTCCAGTATTGATGTGTGTCCACTTCACATGTGGAACTGGCCAGGTGCACTACCTCGCGCTCTTTTTCGGTGTCTTGAATGCCTTGAGCGGTCTTCAACCAAGTCTGCTGGGACCGTGCCTTCCTCAGGGCTCCGAACATCAACACTTGTAGACCATGTCTTTCACAAGCTGCTTTGCATTGCTTGATATTGCTTGCAAACCCCAGTCGCTTCCCCACGGGTTCTCTAAATGCAAAAGCCGTATGTTTTCCAAAGAATCTGGGAACCAAATCATTAGAAGCGTGAGCTATCCTGCGTCCAGCTACTGGAAGCCACTTGATCAAGTAGGAGCCGGGCAGAAAGATCTAGATTGAACGAAACATCTAGAACTGCCAAGCATCTTGGCTGACTCCAAGTGTCGTAAGTCAGCGTGTCTCCCCACCGTCCGCATGGGGATTGAGTCGAGGACCGAATCCGGCTAGAATCAACGAGGAGCCCACGTCTTGAAACAGGAAAGAAACGCCAGGGACTGCATCAATTGCTGACAGCAAAGCAGCAACACCAGTGACAAGACATATGTGCAGAGCTCTATAGGCACATGGGCTGCAAGTGGGACATAGCTTAACAAGCGAGCTGGGGAGTATCTAAACCAGAAATGACGCTCGATGGGCACAGCATCACCCTGTGGAGCAAAATTCATGACGCGTTGATGGTCGAGTCTTGAGTGCCTCAGGTTTCGCTTCGAAACCGCTGCAAATGCACATGCCAAAACAATGAACGGTGCCTCAAGCCGGGGTCTGTATCATTTTACATCACTTGGGGTGGGGATTCCCTGCCCTTGGGGTGTGGCGAGGGGAATTGGAGCTGCATCACATGCCGAGGCGAAGGGAACTGTCGAAGCTCTTGGGCTTTGGACGCCAGGGAGATGTGAAGAGTGGTGGCTTCCTGAAGCTCGAGCAATTGAGTGAAACGGGGATGGGGAACATGATGGAATATGCATATGGCATACTACCCGGAGATGAGTTGGGAGTAGTGAAACAGTGAAACATACATGCGGAAATACATTTTCCCATCTCTCGTGTCCGCGGCTGCATTCTGATGGGACAGTTTTGGACCAAAAGGACACGTATCTCATGTGTCCAAACCACATGAAGGAGGCCCATAAGGTCCTATCTCATGAGGGCCTATCTCAGATTTGGCCTAAGCACGTCCCGGCAGATACGGTTTCGTGTCGGCTTTGGAATTGGTAGAGCAGGGCATTTGAAGGACAAAGAATTTTCTCATGATGGGGTCACGGGTTGGAAACCGGAAACGGGACACACCATTGCCAGATTGGGAGGAGTTGTCTAGGTAAAGTCTCAGGCTTTGGACGAATGAGTTAGGCCAAGAAAGAGTAGTATAATATCCCCTATCTCATGTGTTCGATCCAATTTGTGGCTATTTTCTAGTCCTATCTCATCTGCTTTTCGTACATTCTGCAATGCCCACAATTTCCTATCTCATCTTCCCCTAGTATATATGGTTTTCCGTGGTGATGATGACGAATTGGACTATTTAGATTCCTTTCTTTGCAGAATGTGGATGTGTGGTGGATGGGTGAATGCATCGCTTGATGCTCTTGGGAACTCTGATGACAAAGCTGTGAGGTCCAACATGTGCTGGATGTGAGTCATTCTAAGAACCTGCTTGGCTCAAGATCAGTTTGCTCCTCAGGAACGCCGCGGGCTTCTATTTGGCCTGGAGCCCTTATGAGAGGTTGTGCCATTCGAGCACAGAAGAACGCATAACTGACAGCCGCGACGGGCGCAACTCTGCAGAGAGAGAGAGAGAGGGAGAGGGAGACATGCCATGGTGTCAGGGTGTCGTATACCGCTCGTCGCGTAGCTCCTTGAATTCGGAATTCGAATGGTGGGGCCGCCCTATAGGCTTTGTGTATGATATTTTTTTCTAACACCCCGGTGTTTTGTTCGTAGAAACGTGGATCAAGCTGTGGGTCGTCAAACTGCAGGTGCTGGCATATCAAACTCTGCGCGCTGTCATGCCTGAGTTGGCGCTTTTCGCTTCTTGACACGTGCTGAAGAAGTTTTTTTTTGGTATTTTGTTTCCATCTGGGCTCCTTTGAAACACCAGAAAAAGCGCTGGTTCCCCGGGTGGACACCAAGCCCAGGACCCCATCGTCGGATTTATCACCATGACGCTGGTGTGTCACCAGGTCTGTTACCAAGCGCCGCACGGGGTTTGATTTCTTGACTGCACGTGGACGGTTCCACATGGAGAGGGCTTGAAAGAACACCATGAAAAGCATTGAAAAGCCAACCGCTCGACAACAGCCAACTGCATTGCAGAGAGCCTGTTTTCAAAATCTAAAACAAGTCAAAACACAAGTCAACTTAGTAGTCAGCCCCAGAAGTCAAAGTCAACAAACAGGCAAATCAGAAAGTTTCAGAAAGTCAAAAAAAATCAATTGGTCTAGATCTGACAGTTTCTTTATTTGTGGTTTTCTATTTTTTGATGTTTTTGTTACTTTTTCTTTGACTTTTATTCGATTTTATTCGTTTTTTTGCTTTCCGAGTTGTTTTCTAATGTTGTTGATTTCTTTTTTTATTTGTTATTTTTTGTTTTTTATTTGACTTGTTTTTGACTTTTGTGATCTATTTTTTACTTTTCAATTTAACTCTATTTTTGACATTTTATATCAAGGATTCTGGCCTTACCTATGAAATAATTTGATAAACTTAGTCACAGGAAACGTTGAACCACTGCAGACCTTGCAGACCTTCCCTGTACAGCGTTACCACCTGCTGTTTGATTCAGGCCTACATCCTGAACCGCTGGGTGGCCAGCGGGCAGATGCACAGGGTGGATGCCTTTCTAGTGCCTGGCATCTTCAATTTGCCTGCAGCGTGGCCTCATGATCCTTTAGAGCAGATGCCCATGATGACCCTTTCTAAAATTGTTCTACCCTGTTGCTCTGTGGTTTTAAGTATTTTCAAGTTGAGGATGGGTTCACAAATTTATTCGCGATGCATCATCATACAGGCAACTGTTCATAGCTTCTCAAGCTTCGCTGAGGTATCGTTGCACTTGGCTGGTGGCAGCAGTCAGGCCTTACGGGCGGAAGCACTTGCCCAGTAGACCGTGCTAGTTGGTTAGGTTTGGCTCATTAGGTCACTAGGCGCAGCGACGTCGCTAAAAAGTCATCAGAACGTATGTGAAGCTGAAGAACTCATCTGACAGACTTCATGCTGAAGATGGGTGGAATAATCCATCTGAGAACGGATGAGGACTGGACAGAACTACCTCTTTGGTAGGCAATCCTGTACCGTTTGTCCAGGTCTGGTGGGAAAACCTTTGCAGCCAATATGCTGCATGGCCAGAGTGGCTTGGCTGCAGAAAGCGCCATTAAACCTATCATTCTGACGCCTGTCGAGTACTGTAGTTATTTTCTGGGATTTGTCGGCGTGGCCGAGACAAATCGATGACAAATCAATGGGCCAAACAATGTAATATTGACGAGGCCATGAGGGACGAAACCGTGGATCAAGATGATCAAGTTGCTTTGTACAGGTTCTTCTTCTCTGGCAACTTTGCTATCGCATGGGCTTGCTCCTTGGCTGCACACTTGACACGTGTTTTCAAAAAAATGGCACGGCAGTGGCCCAGGTTGACTTGTGCAGGCAAAGTATCTCCCACAACATTCTGGCGGATGAATGCTTATGTCACTTCTGTATATTTTGTTTTTATTGGGTGGGGCATGTGTCACGGGGTTGGGGCCATGACTTTCTAGTCAGTCTCCAGGGTCAGGATATTGTGACCCGCCGTATGTCCACACGTGGAAGGAGGTGTCCAAACGGTGGAAGCTGAGCGAGATATGCGAAGCGGATCGTTTTAACAGCCGGGTTTGCAAACTCCAGCTTCTCTCAGGTGCCATGGTCACGCTGGTCCTGTCTTTGGGTGAGAGGCGCTGGACATGTGCAGGGCCTCTTTTGCGCCTTTCTTTTCAAGAGAGAAGTCTCTCCAAGAGAAACACGAACCAACTAACAGCTCTCCCAGACTTGGATAGCTAAGAACGATGGGCACCTGCAAGTGCAAAGGCCACCACAAGCCCTTGCCTGTTTCTTGTGTCACATCATTTCGCGTAGGAACAGAGTCAAGAAGGCCTATGGCCCACGGATGTCCACGGGCTACATCCTTACAGGTCATTTTGCAGCCTACACTTCAACATCGACTGCACTTGATCGATCGCAGGCGGGTCATCAGTTTGGAACTGCGAAGCATGCTGATGCTTGCTTTGCCAGCGCTGGTCTTCTCGACCGTCATAGCCCAAGCCTTCAGACTGGACCAACAGCATGGCTCCTGTTTCCTTCTATTGTTTTGGACACGTATGTGATCAAGCACCCTATGACCCACAAGTGTGTTGCGCTTTGGTCGTGTTTGTTTCTGACGCAGGGTGGTTTCTGTTTTAAGAAGGTGACAGATTGGTTCGCTTGATCCTTTATTAGGTGAGGCTTTTGATCAACACGTGTTTGTGTTTATTTTTTGTTGGACAGATGGACTGGACTGTCGGAACACCACATCAGACTTCACCCCGATTGAAATGCCCCTCCTCCATCCTTTGATGTGCAGTCAATATGCTTTTGTGACTGGCTTCGCTCCATGCTCTTGTGAGGTCTTTCTGAGAGCGTCGGTTTTGCTGCCACATGCGCTTGACGAGAACCTGTGGCTATTGCTCACGCTCAACCCGTAGCCGTAGCCTTGGTGCGGTGAGTTTTGGATCTAATCTAGATGCCTCAGGCCACCCAGGGGTGGTGGCTGGTTTCTTTTTAAATGGTGGCAGGGTTGCCTGGGTGCTCCCTGAAGATGCGTGTGTCAGAACAAGCAAGGGCCTCAAGCTCTGGAGGGGTACGAAAATGAGGTTCGGACTCGTTGTTGACATGTCGCTTCTTCAGGGAATTCCTTCGGTGCTCCGCACGCTCCGCACACCACAAGGTCGTCGTTTCTCTCCTGGTGGTTGTTTCCATGGTTCCGGCTCGTAGCCTGAGAATTGATCCTCAATTCTCCAGGCAAAGCAGCTCCAGTTTCAAAGGAAAAAGGTAGATGTCCAGCTGTGCTCAGCCCGCATGTGATGATATTGATATTGATGCAGTCAAATGCGCTGATCAAACTCGCGCTTGCTTCCTTCCATATAGATCTCACCCATTGCATCCTATTGCTCACTGGTCTACATGCAGATGGGTCGTCGATTGCAAAATAGGCCATGCTCCATGGGGGGGAGTGAGACTTCCCTTGAACTGCGACCGTTTCCTCCTGGGCTCGGAGACCCGCGCAGGTGGACCTGCACCGTTTCGACGTCGAGGTCGGAGCGGCCAGTCGTCGTTCGTCGTTTCGGGGGGTCGGTCCTCCGCGCTTTTCGGTGTCCTTTCGGTGTCCCCCCTGGGACGCCGATGTTGGGAGGTCTTCTAGTTGTGCATGGCCGAAGTCCCAATTCCAATCTTCACCACTTGGGTTCGAGGAGAATAGGAGAAGCGAGTCACGAACGCCGCAGGTGGTGGCTTTCGTATCCGACGGAGTCTGGGGTCCCTGGCGCTTGTGGGGGCGGGGATGGGATGCTTCCGAGGATCATTTACGTGGCATTTTATGGGAGTCTTGAGTAGCGTTATGATCTGCATTATCCATTGATGTTGTTGATCAAGATCCAGGAATGCCACATTCCAAACCATTCCGAAGTCCATACACTGTAAGACATCCATGACATTCCATGACCAAGGCAAGACCAGTTGTGAACTCGCCATAATCACGGTAAAAAGAGTTACAGTATAAGTGGTATTGCATGTGAAATTAAACTAGGACAGAAAAGGTTCCCAAGCCGTGCTTCCTAAAATGTTAAACACCAATATCAAGATTTGTGGCTTCGATGTCGGTCGATTCTTTTTGATCTTCGGCAACTCCAAAATGATCAAAGTGCAAAATGGCCAGATTGTCGGTCTGAGTTAAGAATATTTTCAGGCACTCATATTCTGCGACAGTCTCTTTTCCAGACTCCAGGCACTGGGCAGAAGCCAAATTATGACATCCAGGCTAGAAACACCATTGATCTACAGCCTCTTGTGGTGTTTGAGCATGTTGCTCAACATGGAAGCTCATGTCGGGTTCCCGTTCACCTCCCCCTGCTCAGCCAAATAAGGTTGATGAGCTCCGTGTGGCAGCAGGTGAGAAGCGTGCTGATCTCATGGGGAAGCCCGAACTGTCGGAACACCTAGCTTCAGACGATCAATGACGCGAACGTAGTAACAAGTGCATGGCTACTAGTAACAAGTGCCTTGCTAGTAGTAACAAGAAGCGAACGTAGAAACAAGAAGCTTCATAGAACGTGTTTAGAAAAAGCTTTCCATGCTGCTTGTGCTGCTGCTGCCGACTCCCGCCGCTGCCGCAGCCGGAGAACACAGTTTCACCTGGTGCAATTAGTTTTATCATGTTCTTTATATCTAGATGCCTTTGCTTTCGGGCTTTCGGTTCTAAGAAGATCCTTCGAGCAAACAGAGCCACAGAGGGACCATGCGTGAATAGGGTGAGGCTTTCGGCGAGGTGCTCAGGCCGCTCATGATCACAAGGTTGTTGCTTGGCCTGCGCTCCGCAAGAACCAAATGCGTTCAAGCGGCTCTTGGCATTCAGAAGGCCGAGCATGGCAAAGAATGGCAGAGCACGGCATTGAAGCAATGCAACGAATGTAAGATTGCCAGCCAGGTATGCCAGGTGGATCCAGGTTGCATGTTCCTTCTGCCAAACTGTTTGCACTCATGGCCTCCACCGGTTCTGGGTTTCTTCGGAGGAACCTTGTTTTCCGGATGCATCCGGATGGCCTAAGGCTTTCCCGGAAAGCCCCCTGAGGGACATTATTTCATTCACCCAAGCGCCAGCCAGTCGTTTGGCGAATTCTTGGACCAGCCATGATTCTCCGTTGTTTCCATCACCTCATTCGATCATTTCATAGTTTATATTACGTATAATATATGTATATATATATATTATGTATTGTTATATGTTTATATAATTTACACCGTACTTTCATTTGCCCCTCCGCTGTGCAGGGAAGCTTGCTGTCGAGAGCTGATGATACCGCTGCCCTTTGCGTTGCGCAGAAGGCGTTGCAAGTGTTGAAAGGTGGCCCTGCTCGCGAAACAAGCTTTTTGAAGACCTGGAAGCCGCATGTCACCTGTAATAAAAAAGTTTGCAATCATTTTGGGACATCCCAAAATGGATACTTTGTGTTTAGCTTTTTGTCTTTTTCTGATGGTTCAGCCCAGGTGCAGGTCCAGCTTGCAGCCATAAAGCTTGTGTACCTTTGTCCAGCTTGGAGGGACCCTTGTAGGCGTGTAATAGTATTGTGTTGATGCAGTTCTGTGCATGCGCAGCCGGGATTTGGCACCCTTAGCAGAGTGTGTCCATCACACTGGCTTGATCTTTCAGAAATTGCTTGAGAACACACCTGGCTTTGCGCAAGTGCACGGCGCAAAGCCACTTTTTGCTCAGTTTTTTTCCGAGCCATGAACGCATGAACAACTTGCATCAAGGTGACTGTTTTGCAACCACCGACACATGGCGCTTCAGGCCAAAAAAAGGTTTGCTCCAAGATTCTTGCTGGACTATTGGAATCTCTTACTCGAGATCCTTCATGAGCTGGTAAACCTGGTAAAACATGGTTCTGCTTGGCATGTCATGTCGCATGCATGCACTGCCAGAGAGGGCCTTCAGATGAGAGAGAGAGAGAGAGTAAAAGCACATAGACTTGAGAGTGTCGAGAGTGCCCTATAGATCCCCTAGCCAGCACATGGTCCATGTCCCGTCGCACATGCCAAGCCTGAGCCACAGCTGATACAGCTGCATGGATTGCTGCATTGCACGGGCAGCCCCAAGGGTTGAGTTGCTGTCCCTTGGCAAGAATGACTTGCAAGTCAAATATTGAGGCTAGAGGTGTTCTTTTTCTCCAGGCTTGCGTGAAAGGCAATGAATCATCATTTCGCAGAGCTTGATATATTTCGGCCGTGATGTTCCCGCCAAAACTGTTGCCGGGTGATATTTTCTGGCGTTTCTTTGAGGCCCGAGGCAGTGACCCCAGCGACAGGACCTGCTATTTCTGCAAGAAAGGCATGAGAAAAATACGATGAGCAGCTCACATGAAATCTGATTCCGACATGTGCTCCCCAAATCTCTCAGATTCAATCCGCAGATGATCTGTAAAAGCCCCGTCAAGAAGCCGAACCGCAAAACTTGATTTGTCCACTCCGGAGAGTTCGTTGTGTTAGTCATTTGTTCTCCGCCTTGGCCAGAAGGGTTTCACTTTCAGCATGTTTCACTCCACGCGGATTTTGCATGGCCATATCATGCAATGGTTGTGAGCGACCCCAAGTCCCTAGCACGTTGGGGACATATATTAAAGCCACTTGGAGTGGTGCATGTTTGTGGTCGATCCCGAAGCCCTGGAGGATGGGGCCGATCGACTTCTGATGATGACTGGTCCTGGCCGTTAGAGGTATCAGAAGCTGCTTGGCCATGCTTGGTGAAAAAAGGAGGTGGTTTCTTTTGTTGTTGTTCTTCTTCTTCTTCTTCATATTACTATTTTTTTATTCTTTTTCTTCTTCTTCTTCTTCTTCTCGTCGTTGCCGTCGTTTTCTCTTTTGCCCCTTGTTGCGTCCTGCAGAGGGTATGCATTAGCACACGTGAAGTGCCACCGATTTCCCGAAGAGCGACAAAAGGTACATGTTATAGCATAGGAGTTGTAGCATCAACCAATAAATGAGGTGTCAGACAGGTTTCCTGGACCAGTGTGCTATTTGCTTGCTTGGCTGTTCCTCGAATGTACGCGTAGGTCAAGCTCTCCCATTTGGCCAGTTGCTTTAACACAAAAAAGAGGAGCAGTTTGCAGATGGATGCTATCAGTCAAAGGGCCACCCAAGCTTTTGACCCATCCCGATGTGGAGGACCTAGGGTTCCATGGCTTGCCTGTATCACTCCTGTTTTCAGGAACGTCTCCCACCGGTACGGAGCAGCCCTCGGCGACGCACGAGCAGCTTCCGAGGCTTGGCGATAAACAAGAACAGCCCAGCCACCCATCGGCCCATTGACAGCGATTTCGATCACTGGGCTCAGCGCTTGAGGCTCTGAGAAGAGCTTTGCTTTGTTGCCTTCAGTGGGAACCTGGCTCCAGCCACTTCTCCGACCGTCCAAGGCTTCCAAGGCCGAGGTGGGAACCGCCACTTCTCCATGCTGTTTTGATCTGTTTTGGGGAGAACTTTCTGCGGACGTTCCGCCTTCAGGCCCAACAGCGATGACACAACAAACAGCACTGACATGTTACACAGTTCTGCAACCTCCTTACAGATGGGGTCCCTCATGAGTCAACCTTCAAACGAACTTAGCCTGGAGCGGCCATCCCTGCAGGCGAGGGAGCCGAAGGCTGTACCGACACCTTTGCCGACACCAGCGCTACGGCATGTGCCGCTACCAGAGCCGATACGCAAGCCCATGGAGCAATTCCAGGCTCATCAGCAGATATAAACGGCCAGTTTGCACTGGGGTGGGTTCACAAGTGTTTCATGCTTTTAACATCTCAAGTCAGCATGACTGTAATCAATTACTAAGTGAACCTCTTGGACCGCGCGGCCTTTGCTTATCAAATTCTAGATTTGCCAATCTTCCAGTTTTGTGCTTTGACAGCCCCTTTTAACTGTTGTTGCTTGAGTCCAGCTACTGGGTCAAGTGCAGTTTCGTTTCGCCCAGAACCGATCTTTTCATGCAGAGCATGGGCTCAGCATCGAATTTGGGGGTTCCCAATGCACCAATGGCCACCACCTCCCCTGTCAGGGCCAAGTGAAGCACGGAGATTTGTGGCCTGTTTGGCTCCCGTGCGAGATCACAATTTTTTGGGATCGTGCGGCTGCCTAGGCTGTGACATGGGCATTTGTGTGAGAGTGCACGCTCTCCGTGAAACTAACATCCAGGATTGATGAATCATTTTCTCAACTATATGATTATATATGTCATTCCAGGCTCGATTCAAGTATTGTGGTTACGAATATGCTGCAGCTTGGAGGCTGTATTTGTCCCTGTGCCGAGTGCCAAACATCCCAGGATTGCTGGTGCGGCTAGTGGAAGATAAGCGCGACGAGGCGAGATGGCAGGGGCTCGGGAAGACCACACCCAGGCCACAACTTCTTGTTACGTTTGTAGCGTCCTTGTTACTAGTAGTAAGGTGCCTTGTTACTAGTAGATTCTTGTGCTCAAGAAGCTCAAAGAATTCGCCGATGCAACTGACGTCATGTTCATGTTCGTTTTCGGAGTCCCGAAGCGAAGCGTTGAGGAGTCTTTCGAAGTTTGGCTGAGTCCTGCACTCGAGCGGCTGCCCAGATGGCCTTTTTGAGAGGGTGGAGCACGGTGGAGCCAAGTCCATCCAAAAAAACAGCGCCACATGTCCTAGCACATGATGCCACATCATCAAAAGCTCATTGGGGTTCAATATGGTGCCATCAAGGCACCATTGCACAAGACTTGCAAGCAAAGCGTCCGTGAAGACTTGCTGAAACTTAGCCCGTGGTACATGCTCATGAGGTTGCGGCAGTCAAGGACTTCAATGTCGTGATCTCGGACAAGGACCAAGAGGCTGTATGGGTCGTCGTCAACCTCATCTCCGAAAGCAAGCCAAAACCTAGCCTACACATGTGGGAAGTTTTGTTTTCGAGCTGTTTGACATGTTGGTACCTCCGGTGCATTCAGGTGATTCGGGCCAAAAGCCTATGAGTGAAAGCATATCATGTCCATAGCTCCAGTCATTTTGTCTTGACAAGGCACTCACACAAGCTACGTAAACCGCAGCTGGACATGTGAAAACATGTGAAAACGGCCTTCGCCTGGTCCAAAGGGCCTTCGGGTGCCGCCATGGCTTTCTATGAGGAGGTGCTTTTGCCTTATGGTGAGACAAACCTGACCATGAGGGTGCGGGAGTTGCCCATGGCAGATGGTGTTCATGGATCCACGGGCAATCAGCACTGGCCTTCCGGCACTGTCTTGGCCCGGCTGCTGTTGGAGCAGCCCCACTTGGTCCAAGGCCGTTGCGTTGTGGATTTGGGTGCTGGATGCGGCTTGGCCGGCCTGGCAGCTGCAGCCATCGGTGCAAAGCAGGTGGTGTTGACAGATGGTGATGATGAGACGCTCCAAAACCTGGAGCACAATGTGGCGAATTCTGGCTCAGACCAGGTCCGGGTGAGGCTTTTGCGATGGCAAGATGCTGCAACTTGGGACCATTCAGAGCAGGGTGATTTGGTCATCAGCTCTGACACAGTCTTTGGGCATTTTGGAGGTGCGCTGGCATCCTGTGCCTTGCAGGTGTTGAAGCCCAAGGGTTTGATGATCCTGGTGGCCCCTGAGGACCGCCGTGCAGGCGTGCCGGAGTTCTTGTCCTGCATGCGTGAGGCGGGGTACAGTGAGATGGCGCGGCGGGTGGAGGAAGCTGGAGAGGCATTTTGGATCTATGAGTTGTGCAAGTCTGGACCACTTGATCCAAGACAACCTCAGAATCCTGCAGCTGAACATGCTCAAGCAGGCACCCAAAGGAATTGAGGATGCCTCATGGCCAGAGCCAGAGCTGCTAAACAAGAACTGCAAGATGTGGCTGAATACGGCGGAGGCGGGAGCCATCCAATGCTACATCGATCATCTTGACCTTGACCCGGCCACCAGGCATCCATGCCCTCGCCGCCCTCGCTGTTGAGCCATCCAGATGCCTTGCACGTCGTTGATAGAACGAATGGGGCATGAAAGTAGCCCCAGGCCTACCTCACTCAAAATGCAGAAGAGCAAAGCATAGAAAAGGCAGTGGGGAAAGGGCTAGAGTTTGTGGCTGAAGTGGGCTCGTGTGACTCGATTCACTTTCATGTTGAACTGAACTTCAGGAGGCAAATGGTTTGCTCCTATGTCAAGGGTTGTCACGGTCTTGGGGTGGACCGGGTGCTGCTGTTGAGGCTGTTGAGTTAGCTTATGAACTTGCTTGCCGGAGCTGTGACATACAGTACTGTTTCCTGAATTTTAACTAATGACATGGTCCTACCATGCTACAATATATGCCAAGCAACGGCTCTCTGGCAGCATGGGCCCTCTTAGTGTCTGAAGAGCTGGCCATGAGCCGCATGTTTACTGTCAAAGCAGGGTTCTGTTATCCACTAGCCGCCAGTGATTCGCAAGCACAGAATGAAGCCCTATCAGCCTTCCAAAAACAACATGATAGAACCCAGTCACCCAGTGTCAATTTCTCACTTTTCTTTGTTGCTGCCAGTCCTTTTGACGACTGTGGGCCTATTTCAGTCATCCGACACCGTGTCCACAGATATCCGATGATCGCAGGTGATCCTGCGAGGGAGTGATGCAAAATTCAACGTCTGCTTGTTGAAAGCTTTGCGAGACGGCATCCGCAGGCCGGGCGGTCAGGGGGGGCGGTCGGGGGCTGGGCAGGGCGCGCAAGTGACCACCACCAACCGACCACTTCTTCGTCTTTCTTGGCGAGGCTTGAGGAGGTAAGACAACTTCAGTAGGTTGCGTGAAGCAGCTGCCTCTCAAACTGCAGAACATTCTTCGGAGCAACGCAGGTGCCTGCTGGTGAGTGGGGCAAGGGATTCCGGCACCAGTCCTAATAGCAGTGGCCAGTTCGGTTTTATTGGACCACAGGTGGCCGCAGATGTTGGAACCAAATTCATTTCAAACTATTCTTGGAAGGTTGGATGAGCAGATTGCTTCAAGGAAGATGTCCTTTGCGCCTCGGCGCTCGCATGCGCTCGCCGTGACTTGAGGTTTTTTCAGGGAGACAGGTGGGAGACAGGTCTTCAATAGTCTTTCGTGCCTTGAAAAGAGAAGCTAAGAATGATATATAGCACTTTTTTTTGGGTGGACTTTACGGCTGAGAGTTCTGAGAGTTCTGAGGCTCATCCTTTTGTCCAGGTGACGAAGGACAGTTTGCGCTTCAAGTCATTTCGAGTGAACACCTTGAGGAGTGAGAAACCATGAGCTTTCCATGGGCCACTGAAACCTGAAGAACCGAATTTAAGATCCTTTAGGAATGTTGTGTGTTGGGGCAGCCGAGCAAGGTACATTTGAACGTGTACGCGCCATGGCTGCACTTGAGCACGGTACTCCGGTACTTTTATGGTTCACTCGTAGGAAAGGATGCCACCTGACAGGACCTGCAAGCAGCTTCTCAGCTGAGTGGTGAAGTGTGGCAGGTTTCAAAAGAACAACACTGGAATGGTGCCAAGAGGAGGACCACCCATCGTTGTCCATGATATTGCCAAGGACCTCTTTAATTGGCACGTTGGCCTTCTCAACAACATCTCTTGGAGCCTTTGGGGTGCTGGAGCTTTTCACGTGGGGCTGCAGATCTACGACGTGGAGTATGCTTTTGGAGGCCGGTCCGGGTGACCGAGAGAAGGGGTAGTAAGGCACCTGTTACTACTAGCGTGGCACTTGTTACTACTAGGGATAAGGACAATGCATCATTTTGAAGCATTCCCCAAATCACTCCTGCTGGGTGGGAAAATCAGCAAGCCACGTTCAAGACATAGATACGAAAGAGGGCGCACACGAAGAGCAGTTTCAAGCGTTTCTCCAGCTTGGTGTTGGCGCTGTTGTACAGAAGATCGAGCAATGAACACTTCATTGCGAAAACATTTTCATGCTTCATAGCTCCAAGAAGCTCCAGTAATGTTGAAGTCATTGCAGTTGGACGTCCATCACCATCGTAGTCCAAGATAAATTGCACCTCTCACACCAGCGTCACACCTGAGGCGTAGAACGCGGAATTGACGGCAGTGGGCCTCTGAGCTGCGGTTGGGTCCGGTGTGGCTGTGGGAACGTTGCACATGGCTGCAGCAGCGCAGCAATAGCGGGGCTTAGGTTGAACTCAAAGTTTCATTTGGGACATTGTTTCCACATGTTTCTATCTATGGCTGACCTCTGCAATCACGTCTCCAAGTGTGGATGTAAGGTTGACACGAACCCCCAAACTTGTGGATTTGTGGGAGGCAGGTTCTTCATTCAGGTCTTCTAGCACGACTTCGGAAGGATTTTAAAGAGAAGTGTGGGAGAGCTCATGTGCTGTCATTGGTGCAGTCTCAGCTTCTGAGGATCACAAAATGTGAGCCGTGCAGCTGTCCAAAGCATTCATTCCGAGAAAGTCTATGCCTTGGGGTCACGGCCCTCAGCAAGGAGGAGAACGACTTGGGCGGTCTTTTCTTTGATGTGCAACCTGCAGGGGGAGTTGGGTGTTTGCGGGAATGATGCGCCAGAGTGTAGAGATGAATTGATTTGCTTACTCCGTCTTGAAAATAGATGGTTTAAAAAAGAAAATTGCGCCATCTACGAGCGCCAAAGTACCACAGTAGAATTGCGCCATCAGTAGGCATCCTGACAGTATAAAAAGGGCGAGATTTAGGCTTCAAAACCTCGTACTCGGAGACCCCTGACGGCACGCTCCATCTATATACTCCAGTTAGAAAGTAGAACTACAATAGCTGAATCTCTTGTGAGAGAGAAAGAAAGAGAAAGAGAAAGAGAAAGGAAAAGCAGGAGGCCTTTTGGCATGGAAGAATTTGGAATACTGTAAATAGTATATAGGAGCACAATGCCACTATATACTGGTAGACCTTAAATGTCATTTGTTTGCATTTTCAACAAAAGTGAACCCACGCAAACAAAACCAAGCAGCCAGCCCACAAGTACAATACTGTATCCCAAATGTTGGATGGTAGAAGAAAGTTTTTGCAGTGTGGCATCACCGGCTGCTCATACCGCCATTTACAAAGCTCCGTCAATGTACAGATTCCTGCAGCTCTTGTATCTGGCATCAAACGCTGGGATTTGGGGAAAATAACATGCTGGCAGCATGTGCAGAGCAGGTGAGTGCTAGAAAGAGAAAGAGAAAGAGAAAGGAAAAGCAGGAGAAATAGTAAAAGACAAAGTAGGATGGGCACCGATGGGCTTGAGTGTGTTTGGACTGCTTTGGATGGCTTTGCACTGATGTGCATTGTGCCATCTATAGCGCGTTTTTTCGCTCGTTGTTGCAAGCTCATTTTTTCTTGCGTTTGCATTTTTGCACCCCCCTCTCCCTATAAATGCGCCATCTACAGGTGCAAAATAGCGAGGAAAAATACATTGATGGCGCATCTGGGAACACTCCCGGGAACCCTGACTTGTGCCAGAAACTCTCCGGGCGGTGTAATTTATATAATGGGGGGTGTATTTGTTCTGCATGTCTATGAGGTCTTTCAGATTCAGCCCCTTGCCAATTGCCTATACTTGATGCCCTACAAATGTGCAGGCAAGCAATGCCTCACGACACCCAATGCCGCATCGGACGGGCCAGGATGTGGATGATCTCCTGCGTGAATTGGCGCCCGAGTGGTCCGTGCAGGTGCCAATGGTCACGAGTCACGACTGCTTCAGAGCACGTGGACCCTAGATCCATAGACCATCTAATCACGCACCCAATTGTAGCCTGCCTGCCCTGCAAACATTGAGTGGCCGAAGGCTTAGATTCCCTGTCCAGGAGTATGAGACGCTGGGCCCCAATTGCATCACCTTTTGCCAGTGCTTGAGCCAACGAAGCCTGGCAGCAAGGGCACGTGTCGCAGCCCGTGCAAATCACGGCCGCCCAACCAGCGGCGTAGACAATCCTGCGAGAAGCTGTTTGACTTGCTGGCGGTGGCCACTTTGGGTGAGATTTCGTTGAGGTGTCACCAATGACACAACAAACACAGGAAAGTCTCAAGCATCCAAGATCCCTGTCATGAGATCCAGACCAACCAACCAACCAACCAACCAACCAACCAACCAACCAACCAAATAAACAAGTTCAGGCGGACGTGATCACATGCCACTGGCCACTGAGGTCTGGGAGTTCGCGCTGTGCCTCGGTGGGTCGATTCCATGGTCCGAAGTCTGAAGGAGCCATTGGGCGAAGCGGGCACCGAGGGACCCCAGCGGGGAAGACGAGTCCGGATGGACTGATGGCAGGGGAGGACAGGTGACAGGGTTTGGTTCAGGGTGACAGGTCTTTGGCAGGGTGACAGGTGTGGGGCACATGGTGAAGCTTTTGGTTGTTTCACGTCGTAACTTTTTCCAGGAGAGAGCACATGGGCAAAGTAGGCACGGTAGATCATTTCCGCTGGCTTTCCATTTGCATTTTCCTTCCTCGAAGTATCTGTGGGTACTGGCTCCTGCATTGGAGGAGCGGCAACATGTGGAGGTGGAAGATGGCACTCGCGGCATTTGTCCAGATGGCCATGAGTGCCAACTGCAGCTGGGACGGCTTGAATGCTTGGCTACAAGTAACGATCAATTTTGAGAGGTCTGACGAGGTCTGACGATGAGCTAGCAAGTCTGTCGCAAATCCCCTCACCTGGTCCGCTTGCCTTGCGCCGTCAGGCAGATGCAAGCTCTCCTAGCGAGTCTCGTGGAGGTGCTCTCTTGCGAGGTCTGCGGCGAAGCACCTGGGTGTTTTGCTCTTCAGGCTTTTCGCATCTGTTTGTTGGAGGCCATCCATTAGGTTGGAGGCCATCGCTCTTAGGTTGGAGGAAGGGCCTCTCACTATAGGTCAGGTGATCCGTGCGGTGGTCCTACGTAAGATAGAGATTGCTAGAGCTTTTTTGGACGGATTCGGGTTGAGAGGCTGTGCCTTAAGGTCAACCTTTTTGCTTCATTCTCTTTCTACTCGTGCGTTATATCCGGACCGGTCGGATGAGGATGTCTTGAGTTCTGCAAGGTAATCAGGGCTCAAGTCCCTCACTGGCACTGCAGGGAGTGCGAGATCGAGATTTGTGAGGGCTGCGCTGGTCATATTTGGGACTTTTAGCTGCTTTTTCCCTCCAGGAGTGTGTGGATGGCCAAAAACGGCATAAACATCATAAACTACAAGCATATACTGTATGTGTTCGATCGAGTTGCAGTTTCTGGTTTGTGCACATTGGCGAATTGATATGACAGTCGCTGAATGGCGCTGATTATTCAGTTTTACACTTTTTTAGCTGTCCCACACATCCTGATCTTAGACTGTTGGCATTTGCTTTGCGGAATTCTGTTGGCATACACAGTTGTGACGGCACGGTCCTTACATGGCCTGTTTTTCGCCACTTCGTGAGGTTGTGCTTTTGGAGTGGCCCCAGCTTGCCTGTTCGCAAAGATGTCAATAGAAGGCGTTGCCACATAGCTGCGTGCGGATCAGCGGATGGCAAGGCGGCGAAGAGCACAAGTGACAATGCACGGGCCTTGGAAGGCTATACCAGGTAGAGACACACATACTTGGAACACTTGGATGACTCGAACATACTTGAACATAGGGATCCCCATTCAATCAAGAAACAGATGGAACTTTGATTGATCGGCCCTGGAGCTTCAAGGAAGACATAGGTCCTCACCTGGCTGCCAGCCTTCCGTTCAGCCAAAGGAGAAATCCTAACCTTGCTATGCCTTGTGTCCGCGATGCGGAACGATTTTCAGCCGTTTTGGGGATTCTGTGCTTCCAAACGGGGCCACCATGCCCTCTCGAACAGCCATGCCCTGCTCGAATGTGTGGGCCGCCCAGCTTGGAATCCCTTGCAACTCACCAGCGAAAGACGAAGGCACCGGCCTTTCAACCTTTGATTGACAACTCTTTTCCGCGTGCTGACGGGCTTTGACGCAGGTGACAGAAAGCACCGCGGCGAAAAGGGCGGGATAGGTCGGGACATAGCCGGGCTCTCTCTGCACAGAGCCTATTGCACCACGCAGGTGCGATAAACCTCCGAGTGTGTCGAACTCAGAGAGAACATCGTTCACATCAAGTTTTTTTCTTTTTTTTTTAATCCTTCTCCATCTATCTATATAGTGATGTTTGTTTGTCTGTCCGCCCGTTTGTTTGCCTATCTACTGTATTATCTAGCTAGCCAGCCATCTATTTACCTGTTTTTTCGTTTCCTTTGTCTCCTTCTCACGCAGTCTCTCTCAAACCCTCTGGCGGAAAGAGCCACATGTGGTGTTGGCTGGAGATATCAGGTGACAGCCTCGAAACGACAGTCTGCACGGGGTTGTCGTTTTTGAGGTTGGACCCCATGTGTGGTGTCGGTCTGGCTCTCAGGGCTGGGGGTGCGTGCCTGAATTGCAGATGAAGTTCTTGTTGTCCCAAGCTTGCATGTCTTGGTTGCTGTTGACATGCATGTGAGATTTCATTACACGAATTACATGAGTGTTGGAAACTTGTGCAGCTGAATGCTCGTCTCTAGGCACTTAGGACTTAAGCAAGGGGTTCCTGTTGAGTTGGGTGTTTGCAGATCAGGGAAGTATGCAAACTTGTCCTTTTGGAGGCACATATCTTTTTGCACTTCAGTGGGCTCTGGGCCGCACGGCCCCCAGCTGTTGCTTCAAGAGCATCAAGAACGAGTCTTAAGCCGTGGTTGTATTTCATATTTTGACTTTTACTTGTGTACCTAGCATGTCAAGGCAACGAGTGTGACGTTTTTACACTTTGCCATTTATGCTTCTTTGCATCATCACATGGACACGCCATGATACATCCGACCCAGAAAAGAGAAACAGTCAGAGGTTGGCATAGCGATTGCAGCTGAGGAATGGCGCGTGGGACCACAGCTGAGATGTGGGGAGCTGCATTCTTAGCTTGAGGGTATCGGCAGGAGGTGTTTTGCTCATGCTGAGTAGGAGCAACGGAGTTGTGCACACTGGCCTTTGCTAGACCAGCTCCACGAGAGAATTTTGCTATTGTACTGAGTCAATAACCCCGTGACATGTTGGCCATAAGCGCCATAAGGCTGTGATTTGTCAGGTGGATGCAGAGGCTGAGAGCCTTCGCCATGCCTCTTCCAACGCCAAAGTGCAAGGACTTGGGCCAAGAATTGCATCGATGGAACAAACAACTCACCACAAACGGCCGGTGAGACAAGTGACGAAATCTTGTCTCACTTTCTATCGTTTGCATCCATATTGGCTCAGCTTCGAACGTGGGTGTGAGGCTCCAGGGCTGTGCAAATGGAGGGCTCCAGTCCATTACTGGCCCCTCGCCTTCGCCCGTGGGAGCCACCTATGAGCAGTTGCAGCGTGACCTTGGAGGAAGTGGCCATGGCTGCTGCGGCCGACACCACTGCGCGCATCCGAGCGGCCGCCTCCGCCCCCGCCTCCGCCTCGACGCGGACGCCGTCGCCGGAGCGCCGCCTCTCACCGCTGCGCTTCGACGAGCGGCGGAGTGGAGCGAGCGGAGCGAGTGGAGCCAGCGCCTCGCGGGGGGCGCCACCGTGGGCCTTGGTTCCAGTAGCGCCCATCTACCCGTGGCAGTGGCCATGTGTTCCCATGGAAAGTCTCACAATGAGCCCAGAGAAGCCCAAGCGACAGATGGAGATGGAGACTTTGCGGGAGCTAGCAGAGCTGCGCAGCCGCTTCAATGAGCTTCAAGACTTCTGCAGCCGTTTGGAAAAGGAGAATGCTCAGCTCAAGACGGGTTTGGCTGAGGGAGGGCGCGGCAAGTTGGAAGAGACCTGTCGCCAGCTGGAGCAAGATGTCATCCACCTGAAGAAAGCCCTGAAGGAAAGGGAAGAAGGTGAGAAATCACTTAGACGCCTCTTCGATGAAGCAGAGGCTCTGAAGAGGAATGTGATCTCCGAGAACGATCGCTTGAAGCAGGAGCTTGGTATCGTACAGCCTGGAGAGGCCAGGCGCCGATCTGAGATGCGCCGGCATTCGACGACTTCTGAAAGCGGATCAGGCATGATCGAGGTTGATATGACCGGAGACTTTCGATGAGCTTTTCTCAGAGGCTTGATTTTCATGATGCCGAGCTGCACAAAGATGATGCCAGTTGATCTCAGAGGCAGTTGATTTTGGATGTGACAGTTCTTTGGAGCCGCGCCTTTTAGGCCCTTTTAGGCTCCGATCTTTTGAGGCCGATGTGAGACGGCCTCCGACAGTGAGACGCCAAAATGGCCAAGGAGGAATTCAATTACCATTTTTAGTGCATGGTGCAATCTCCGGCAGAACGCCGGACAATTCGGTGTCAAGATAGTGTAGCAATCCCCAATCGAAAAAGACACCTTTGGGCTGCTGAACCTGATCAAGTGGTATCGGGGGATTCCGGTTCTGAGCAAGTCCGGCCTGGGTCAAGCGTCAAGGTTAGAAGTCTATCGCCAGGTGGGGCACACACACAACCAACCACGGACTATGTGCAAACACTGTGATCAATGGCAAAATGAACTCAAGGCATGTAGTTCCTGACGCCGGCAAAGTAGGACACTTGACTCGGTTAGGTTTAACGCCAGGAGCCACGGCAGCAGATTCTCGCGGCCCTGATTGAGACGGCATGAAGTCATCACGACTTGGAGCGTGAAACCACCTGCAACACCTGCAACACCTGCAACACCTGCAACATCAATGAGGTACATTCTCAGCTCCAAGCCCCGAGAAAAAGAGCACCCAGAAGAACATGCATATGCCAGTTGCCGATGTCAGCCTTGAGCAAGCAAAAGCATGCAAAAGCATAAATCAGTACAAATCAAAATATAACAAATATTCACAAGCAATAAATATTATGTAATATTGTACTTATGAGACTTATGACGCTGAACACCATAAGCCTTCCCATGCATGCATGTGTTTAATACGACCCCTTAAGCTGTGGTCAAGACAGATGCAATCTCTCCTCAGTGGTGAATCTAGCCAGCTCCCCCATGAGAAACATCAGCTCAAAGCATCGTATCGGTGCGATTCATTGTGAGCAGGCACAATGCCACCAGGCAAACACATCAAATCTATACTATCTATTGAAGCATTCACTCGACCCCCTTTTTCATGGCGTTTGCTGCTTGGTCTTGGATCTAGCCAGGAGGCTGCACTGTGGACTTTCTTCTGGGGCACGGAAACTTGGCTACCTTGACCTTGACATAATTCGGTGGTTTTGGTCAACCTTTCTGCTAGTCTGCGACGCCGCGTGGAGTTCCTTTATGTTTCTTTTTTCTTTTTCCAATCATTTTTCTATGTTCTTCAAGCCTGAAACAGTTCTTCTTTCCTTCCTTTCCTTCCTTTTTTTCCCTTGATGTTCTTCATGTTGAGGGTGATGGAAAATGGACCAATGAATATCAATCCCCTCCTGTGCCAACTGCTAGCTGCTATCAAACGCTATCAGCACCATGGTTGAATTTTGCACGGCACCAGCACTATTTGGCCGTGCCCCTTGAGAGTTGATGCATGACTCCGTGGGCATGGGGCTGGAAACTTAGAGGCAGGCACATGGCTTGCAATGGGGAGATTCGAGATCGAATGTGGACTGGCAGAAATTCTGAAAGGTTTCGTCTTCAGAGAAGTGACTGGCTAGAAGTAGGGTGGCTTGCGACGAGGTTCCACAGCAAAAAAACGTCACACTCGGGGGCATGTGGAAACAGCCAAGCATCCCATCCTTATATATATATATCAAGCCAATGCAAACTCTCCCCGCTCAAAACCCGTGGCGCTCAAAAGCGCACTTGCTACAAGCTGCCATGGCGCGGATTTGGGACTTCTCGGCTAGCTTCGAGCCCAAGATGGTGGCCAATGCTATGGCACGGTTTTGGTATCTTGACTGCACCTGAGTGAGATTGAGGGAAACGTAACATGGGCGGAGTGGGGAGCAGCTTTTAGAGGATCGTGTAGCTTGCAACTGGCATAGCTAATTATTGCACGATCGAGTTGGAGCAGAGCGAGACCAATTGGTCATTGTAGCACCCTTCAGCAACTAGACAGTGCCCAGCCACAAATGGGTAGCTAGTTTAAACGGGGCGCAACTGGTCACGACCTTCAAGCCAGTCTGGCAAGACACAGAGGGCCTGGGGCATGCGCAGGGCTTGGGGCAGCGGACTTTTATAGAGTTATGAAGTTCTGAGCCCAGGAAGCTCGATGGATGGAAGTTGCTCGGCAGATTTGGAGGTTTCCTTGCGCACACACGCAAGTACAGCGGCATCGCCACGGAATCCAGGCATGTTTTGGATGGCTCCGTTGGCGTCGCTCAAATCTCAATTTGTGAGATCGTGTAAGGTGGTAGTTCCCCGAAAAGGCGATCCGGGTCGTCTGAAATGGGAAAGATGTGATGCATCGTCCCGTGAGATTTTCCTGAGGTTCACTACGCTAGTTGATGCCAATCAACGACCAGTGGACCATTGCCCTATCTCGTTGGAACCAATGGAGGATCCTGTGCTAGTTTGTGATGGTGGCTTAGCTTTCAGCGAGCGCTACGATGTCAAGATTGAGCGATATTGAGTGCCCCTCTTATGAGGAGCTGCTTTTCATAGTCTGCATTTCTCCTTTTGATTCTGCTCAGCAGTGTGGTTGGCAAGGAAAGAGGAGTGAGGCAACCGGCAGTCGTGCGGGCCGTGCAATGACCAAGGCCACATTTACGACAAGAACTCCATCACTCAATGGCTTGCTGAGGGAAACAAGCTCCCTGGTCCAGACTGTGTTCTCATACATCAATCGGAGATTTGTCTGGTAGATCGTCAACCAGTGGAGTCTTCAGCTTCAGATCTCAGTGGTCAACTTCACCCAATCCAAGGCTTTCGCCCTGCACAAGAGAAGAATTGGTTCATACAAAGCTGCTGAGGATCCAGCGACCTGGCGAGAAGGGATCGAACAGCCAATCTTCCACTAGGTGTCCTTCTTTGCTTGACTTGGCAAAGGTGGACCAAGCCGTCGCAAGAAGAAGTGGCCACACTTGTGCTGATTTGAAGGTGACGAGCCATTGCAGGGGGTGAACAGATAGGCTTTTCTCGTCACTTTCGTGATCTTTTGTGCATCTTCCTCTTGCTTTGCGCTAGTTGAGATTTGCCACTGTGGATCTCAGGCCATTTCGAGCTGCCATAGAGAAATTCCTCAGGCCTGCGTGAACCATTCTCGCAAACGGAGCTCCCATCAATCAGCGAACACATAGGTAGCCGATAGTGTCACCCAAGCCATCCATTTTCTTGTACAACCTACTGGCAGTATTCAATGATATTCAATGTTGTTTTGGTCACAAGGCTCAGTGCAGATGCAAGCAGAAGTGTTCAACGACAGCTTACTTAGTTCCTTTTTGGTGGACTTTTGGTGACCATGTGACAAGGCTGGTCACGGCATCCATCTCTCCTCCAAAAGCCCAACCCCTCGACCTTCGCCCGCCCCACGCCCCGAACACCGCACCGGCGACGTCCAAAGGCACCGGGGCGATCATCCCACGGAAGCGGAGCGTGCAGCCGAAGCAGAAGGGCAAGAGATGGTTTGGGGGAAGAGCTCCCTGACGGCAGAGGGGGGGTCACATCGGATCTTTTTTTGAGACACCGTTCTTCTCCCGAACACACTGGAATTCTGCACGCAGAATCCAACTTGATGGGGGAACATTGGAGCGGTTTATCGGCCTTTTGATTTGGTCGATCGCAATGGCAATTTGTACTTGACATGGGCATGGATGTTTTCACATGAGAGACAATCGATTGGTTGGGGAAGATGTGGCCACGTAAGAGTAGAGAATAGAAGAGCATACCTCCCCGTAGTTGTTGTGGTATGGCACAAGTTTGGACTAATCTATGACCAAATTCCCTCTATTTTTGCTCCCCCAAGTGGCATCTGTGCTTTGCTGGCCTAGACTTTGGACTTATGAAAAGTTGCATGGAGTTAGCTGCCTTCCTGGAGCAAAAACTTGTGCAGAGGAGGCCGTTGGGAGTGAGAGGAACGCAGACGTAGAGAGTCCCGCGCGAGAGTCTAGTGCACAAATTTCTGGGAAACTGCAGCGTCGTTTTTGCGGGCCAGGATTTCAAGAGGAAACTTTATAGTTGCATCATCATACATCAACTGGGGTGAGATGCCTGTCAATTGAGCATGTGGCGAGCAGGCAGCAAAACTGGAGAAATCAGACTGGGCGAGAGAAGCGAAGCACGGCCATATCTGCAGGGCAGATGGCCTGCGATGTGGCTGAGCTGAACAGATTGAGGCAATCGTGGTAAGTTGTGAATTCTGCAGATGATGAGGTCGCGAGGTTGCAGTTTGCCGATGAAAAGATACTTCATTTGGGGTTGGGGCCAGTGCCAACCTTTGGGAATCATGTCGAACCTTTGTTGAGCCAGCACTGTTTTCGGGTCTAAGCCGCCTAGGAGTTGGAGAAGGCCATCAGATCCAACCAAGCAATCCGTTGGCACCGGAGCGACGGAACGGGTCACGTGGGTTCATTTGTGGCGGAAAGGGGTCTTGCAATAACACACTGATCAGCCATTTGGACTTGGCACTAATCTTTTTTGAACACATTGTAGTGAAAGTTTGGCAGCTGGAAATTGAAGTGCTATCTTGATGGCGGTGGTCGTACACTTGCTTGTTTCCCTCACGGTTGGCATTGGGCAGGATTTAATTCTTTACAAAGCTTGGAGGGACTTTTTGGAGTATAGCCGTAGCCTCCAGCTTCATTCTGAAGAAGCAGGCGTAGGCAGCCAAGCTCACGTTTGTATGGTCCCCATCAAGGCTTTTGGTTATCGGCTGACTCGTCCGTGGTTTGACTGGTGATTCGCGTGCACAGGGTGAGTTCATGTAAACCGAGCCCACTAGGGTGAAGAGTCAGCTGTGATGCTGAGGCAGAAATCAACAAGCTCCAGTCAGAAGTGCATCATGGCTAAAATCAGATTGGCCTTTCCCAGTCATATTGGCAGTGTTTCATGTTAGCGAAGCCGAGCAGCACTCACCTGGTTATTTCATGAGGAATGGGGCCCAGCAGCAGTTAGAGGCGCTGAAGCGGAGTATTGAAGAGGAAGCGGCTCAAGTGGAGTCTTGACTGATGATTTCTCACTCGGCAGTCGGCTGCGTTTTGTGCCATTGTCTCGACAGCTTCATTGATTTGATCGTTCATTTGACCGGTGGGCGTTGGTGCGGTCCATGGTAAGCGCCTTCTTTAGTATTGGGCCAACTTGTTCTTTATTTGCAAACTTCAGCAATTCGTGCCCCAATGGAACTCAAGGAGATGTTCGTCATCTCTTAGAAAGGTCATGTTCGTCGAGATGCTTGACTCCTTGAAGCACTTGCCATGGTTTTCAACGACCCTCCTATAAAACCCTGCAAAGTCAAACATCCTTAGCTTCCATAGCAAGTGGCTACTGCCAATCACACCACGTCAGAGCGCACTCCAGATGGCCCAAGCTGCCCGAAGGTGCGGCGCTTCTTGCGGATAAAGCCCCTGCGGGAGAAGTCGGCGATCAGCATTCAGAGGCCCAGAAAGTTGGGATTTCTTTGGCTGTGTGTGAGAAGCAGCTGGCTTCTTTCGACCTGTCATGCTCGTAGACGGACGAGGAGGGGTGTGGTGCCGTAATAAGAGAAGATACTGTAGATACACAAGATAAGAACATTCAACAGTTCAATATGTAGCCCAAAGGCCCAAAGAGCTTGGTAATGCAACGATTCCCTGTTTCACCCCTTTGTCCTTTAAAGTTACGTAGGCCTTTATCCCTCTATACAGTGTCTATACTTATACATTGTTGAAACAGTAGACATTTGTTGAAACGATCCCGAGCGGCGCACCAATCCGGCCAGTTCGTATCGCCAGTATGGTGCAGGTTCTGGAAAGCTATCCTGGGGCGCAAGGGTTGGTGGGAGCGGTACGAGAAGATGGCAAGGCATTGTGCCATGGCCATAGCTTGTGGGAACGAGGCGTGGACCTGTTGGAGCGAGGTGTGGCATGTCGAACATCGCTACTAGCAACAAGTGCATCGCTACTAGTAACAAGGTGCATCG